CCATTCTAGCAATTTTTTAAAAACCCATCCAAAACCAAGTGAACATATTGTTTTTGTTTCTAAATATACATTATTCCTCTGCGCTGATCTCCAGGAAAATACATCGATAAAAGATGTATTTCTTTTTTGGGAAGGGAGGCAATAAGTGTATAACAGTGTTTTTATGAACTTAAATGGAAAGTTAAACATATAGTCTTCTTCGAACTAGTATGCCCTTCTAACGGATTTATTGCGCCTGATTGTAGGACGCATCTTCGAAATTTGCGATAATCTCGACAAATTAGGTCTAACACTCTGTAGGACCACTAGTTTGGTCTTTAAAGACAGACGGAGTCTTGGGCTCAGTGAACCAGACGATTCTGAACAACTTACCGTTAAAAAGGTGAGGAGGCGTGCCTAACTTGTGTACCTTTTCATCGGATTACTTCCACAGAGCTATGGGGTGTCCTTTTGAAAGTTGCAGTTAATCTCGACAGTTGCTCATTAGGAGTATAAATTCTATTGCACGCTTTAAATCCATTGCTCTAGAGCTCTCGATACAATTGGCTTCACTTTTTCTCTAGTAGTCTTGTTGAGTGCGGTAAAAGATGAAATATCGACTTTAATTATTATTGCTATTATTATAGCTATTCCTATTGATTACATTTTATTATTAGTACTACCCTTACTGTTATTACTAATATTGCTATTTTATAACGTGCTGCTTGTCAGTTTTTGAGCTAAATTCCAAAGTAATACTACTATTTATCCAAATTTCATCACCATAGTTATGTTTTTTTTGTTAGATTTTATAACATTTTAGTCTTTCCAAAAAGCGGAAATGGGTTTGAATCGGTAGCAACCGCGTTATTATTCAAACCAACAGGTTCCTTTCGTCTACAATAAATTTTTCATAACCTATATTTTTCTTTTAAATTGCCGTACTCTCGTTTTAAAAACTTTTAGTTCCTTTTTATATATTTGAGTCAACACAGTAGATATAATTTCTAGTTGCTCCCTATTAATGGATGGGGAAGGTGGGGGGAGGGAGAGGCTATAAGCTTCAACAAGAGAAAAAAAGGTCATATAATATAATACACTGAACAATATTTGCTCAGGAAGTCAAATGTAACCAATTAAGGTTATTTTCCGACTAATTATAACACAGGGGTAGTGCCACCCCTATATTTCAAATTACACCCCTTTACCTTTTTTAGTGATTTTTCATTCAGGCTCCTTTTATTAAATCTCAGTTCATTAGTTACAATTACTAATTCATCCAAATTTAGTAATAGTTATATTTTATTGAGGGTGGCATCGAATCGGAGCAATGAGACTCATAAGCTGTAAAATTTCCTATCACGCCAAAAGGAAATCATTTATTAAGTTTTAAGTTCTAAAAAAAATAAATGTTATAATAATTGTTGACCATAATAATTTTTAATTAAGCATGAACTTTATGTTGTGGAAAAGATCTCAGTTCATAAGTTTTAACGTAAATTACCATTTAAGGCAATTTTATGAGAATTATGGATTATGTCATTGCTTAGTTGTTAGTATTATAATCAAAGTTCACGAAAAATAAACTGGCAGTAGTGTTAATTTTTTAGTGCTTTTTTTTGTTTTAGTCACATCTTTACATCTCTATATATATATATATAAATTTGTTTGCTATTAATTTTAAAGGGTTTAAAGGTTTAGATACCGGTCAGGAAAGGTTTAAATACCCTAACACTTTAGAGTCTAAGTATAGACAAGAAGCGTTAAAAATTATATCTTTTTCTCTGCGCTTTGATATGGATCTTGTGGAGGGAAAAAAAGGCAGTGTGATTATTGTGATATGTACCATATATTTTAAATGAACTTAAACATTTGTTCCTTTGTTGAGTATTTCATTTACGCTATTTTTAGTCACTACCTACGATAGTGCCAATAAAAATAACATTAATTCAAAAGACTATTTGTATCCTTATTCTAATGATGATACTAATTATTTGCGATATATTTACAAAAAATAGTCTGTCCTTTGACCACGTGCCTTAGATGAAACAGTTTATGACAGCAACCACCTATTATATCCAATAAATCATTTCATCATTACACATACAAAGCTTATTGAACCAGTTATATATTCCACTAGGTATGTATATAATAAAAATTGAGTATGGGTACAAACCAAGTAAAACTATTTAAAATCCAATTTTATTAACAAATTTTTGAACTATTGTTGGAATTATAATGTCGGCTATATACTTTTAAATACCAAAACCTATTTTTTAATAATATGATAAAATAATAGGCTATAAAAGGCTTACTACAAATAAATAAAATTTTATGAATAAATTTAAATATTTATAAGAAAACAATTTTACATAATCAATCTTATTTAGTTAAACAATTGGGCTCAAATTGTAACTTAAATGTTAGTATAAATAAAGACCACCGCAACCTCCGACTATTGCATCCAGTAATTAAGAAAATAGCAGTTTTGTAGACTCTGAGAACTGTTAGCGACTGGTACAGGATCATACTTTGCATATGCAACCTCTCTTTTTGGTAGATATCTTTACCGAATAATAAGGAATACCAACTGATGCAGAGAGAACCTCATTTGTATTTATTAGACCCGCCGTTAATAATTCTTCTAAATCTAAATGCAGTATGTTGCATAAAGGATCCTCGTCGTAGATTTTAGTGATTATTGCTATAGCGAAAGAGCATGTTATAAACATCTTTAAAATCCCCACAAGCTATTAATTTATAATTTTTACATGTACTGAGCTTATTTGCTTCAATAAATCCGACTTTTTTCCTTTTATTAATGTTCAGTGGGTTTGTTTGGTCTGTTTAAGGAAGTTATTTATCCTTTAACAACTTCTGGGAGATAGCACTCAATAAAAACGAAAATAAGGGTATATTCATTGACGGTTACTGCGTGGTCGCGTAATTATGTTTACAGGCCACTATGGATATTTAATTCTTCCCAATGTTTATCCGATTTAATGGAAAACAAAAAAAGACAAAACTTCAAAAACAAGTTCTCAAGTGTGGCTGAATATGTAGCCCTTAGCAATAAAAAAATTTCCATCAAAATATGAGGTAACTAACTTTTAAGACAACTGTTTTAATAAAAATTCATCTAGATAACGAAGCTGTACTAAATATTATCAAAGGCTACGAATCTATGAAAAGAGTACAGCTCTCCTTTATGCCAAATAAGCTAAAAAAAAGCGTCAACATTTTAGTGTGCAATATTTGCTATCCACCAGCTGATATATCTATTAAACGGGAAAATTAATGTGTTCGGGAGAAGATGCCAGCGACCATATCCCAACCCTTCCTAAGGGGGGTTATTACAGATTAAGTGGGTTATGTTCATAACCGGCCAAAGTATTCCATTGCATAAAACAGAATATTGGATGCAGACTTTGAATACAAGGTCTTGGAATGCACTCGGTCTTCCTCCTAATTTGTTTTTTGTCCCCATGGATGAACTACATTATTATATGCCTTTTCTTACGTGCGTTTAAGCAATTGGTCAGCTATAGGCTACCTTGATTTTCGTTTGTTCCTTCTAATATCGAATGTCATCCCTTGCTCATATATCTGTTCTGTTCTTATATAAATTTTATTCTTTGCTTGCCACTATTCTTTTAGTTGTACAACGCCCTTTTCTATTTTTTAGATAATACTTTATAAGCTAGCCAGTGGCGCAACTTTACAAAACTTATTTTTTCTCTTTTTGTTGTAAGGGTGTTAGGTGACTTGCTAACAAAAAAAGGACAAAATAACTTTATATGGAAGAGCGCATAAATTAAATTGAAGGAGATTAATAAAAAATATGAAAGACAAGAAATGCTGTGTATGTTAATTATAGGTAAATGGACATTTATATTCCCCACAATTTAAGGTAAAAGGCAATTCGTTGTTTTAGTGATTACAATTAGCTCTTAATTTTACATTTTTCTAGAATTAAAGGTTTATATCGAAAACTCTAATTATAGTTTTATTGGAAGTGTACATTTTTGCGGTTGGAAGTTATATCATATAGTACCAAAGTTTTTTTGTAATTTCAGTATACTCGTTTCTTGCTTTTTGAAGCGTAAATGGGCTATGCAGTCAATAAAATAAGTATAGCTTCTGCACTAAATTAGTTAGTATTAATGCACAATGGTAAATTTTGAATAGTTTTTAGTAGATATATTTTCCTCGAAGTATTAAGTTTGTTACACTATCAGTTAACTAAGTCACGGCTACTATACTTTATTAAACTTTCTTGTTACCTTAGCTAATCATTTAAAGTGCATAGTTTTACTACTCTATTGGTGAGCTTACACTTTACTCTACTTCCAGATAACACCAAAAAATAACCTGCACTTATACTAAATTAATACTGATAAAAAAAAACAACCCTTTTTAAAAATCGACTACTTTAACTTAAACTTTCTGTGGACTAAAAAGGACTAAAAGTAAACGATAATTTTATACTTTTATATTTTTTTTGGCCTCTAGGCTTTGTCCTGTTGAGTTATAACTTATTGGTTTTCTTATATTTAGTAGAGCCATGTGTTCTTTTCATTACAACGCTTGCCACTCGGGTAAGGTTTATTCAAAAATATGTTTTATCTACTAGACGTTTTAATTAACCTAATGAGCCCCCCCATAGCCTCAATTCTACAGAAATTTTATGTATCTTTTTTGAAAGAAAACTTTGGAAGATCCGGAGAAAATTTTTGTATTCGCGGTGCGTTCCCCAAGTAAAACACTTATTTTCTGCGACATGTTTATTTTAAACGAAGCTGCCTTTCGGTATTCCAAGTACAAAAGCTTTCTTGGCTTGGTAATGAGCAAAAATCTTTTAAAATTACAAAGGAAAGCACTGCGTACGGTGGAGGTTGGATACTAAAAAAATTAACATTACACACTGTTTTACAAGAAACATGGGAGTTTACAGTTGCCTCCGACTCTAAAGGGAATCAAAGTTGCATACAATCAAATAAAGCATTTATTAAAGACAATAGTGCTGACAGAAGCAGAGTTAACAAAAAATTTTTTTTTGCTAATCCTTGAATCCACGCGGCTTGCTTACTAAAAGAACCCTGAACATTTAAAAAAAGTAAATTATGGTGAAAAAAGCAAGAGTTGAGCTTTTAAATCAAGTTGTTGGTTGGAATTAATAACAAGTTTAGCGTTCGAGTCCACTAATAATTTATGTGCATCACTATGTTTATTTTCTAGTTTGCGGTAACTTGTTATATAATGCAGTAACAATAACGTATTCAGTAACTTAAATAAAACTTAGCCGTTTGGTTTGAGGAACTTCAAGCCTTCGTGTTAAAGAAAAGCAAGAAAAATCAAGAAAAGCAAGGCAATGCCACACTTATGAACCCCAAAGTGCGAGTAGTAGAGTGGCTATAACCAGTTAATACCTCGCTTGCCCTTTGACTGCTGTGATTGCGCTAAAAAGCCTCGAACTTCTTCAAGTTGTGCCCTAAAATAAGCGATGAAATTTGGAATTATTAAAAGAGATACCGCGAAAGTTATGTTCGTACTCTAAATTATCTTGTTTACTGAGAAGCTCTTGATATTCCCTCGTCAAAATTTGCATCTGTCTCTCGTGGAGTGCTGCCATCTACTTACAGAATCAACCTAAAATACTCTGTTCTTCAAAAAATAAAGGCAAACCTCAGCTTTTCTAGTTTCCAACTCCGCCTGCTTAGTGCAGACATTTCTGCTGAATTCATTCCGCAACTCAGCTTCTCTCCTCTTTTGCTCGCTTTGCTGTTGCGTCTTTTTAGCCTTATACGTATCTTCTAGACTTATAAAAGGAATTAACTCCTGCTGAATGCCGAGCCAACTCTAGCGAGCCTCGCGGGAAATGAGAATAACCTTGCCTCTCATTCGCCGTCAGTTGTTTCGAGGAAGCCCATTTCTCTTAGGCGCTTCATGCGATAAGAGCTGCCAAGTAAAATAGGAGCAAATGAAAGGAACAAGGCTAGACTGTTCCTCCAGCTACCTGTAAAACACGGCGCTGGTTTGGTAAATGAGATTCTATTGAACAAAATATAATATTAGCAGTGAGGTCACACCAGTAACAAAGAAATAAAGTCGCACGTAAATGCTGTAACGGAGTAAGCACTCTCTGAGGGTGGCAAAGTCGCTGTGGTCTTCGTTTTCGATGTCCACTGTGCCCCTGAGAGGTTTATTAAGAATTTTTACAATAAAAAAGGTTCGAGAAGCTGAAGGGCGCGCTACCAGGGGTAGATCCGGACGCGTCTCCCGTCTATAACCTCGTTACTGGCTACAATAGAAAAGGGCGCAACCGCTGAAGATGAGAGTGTACGTAAGCCAGTAAAATACTGTAAGTTTTAGCAGAAATACCTTGAAGCTCGCCGCAGTCTTCAGTAAAAAAATTATACGTTGAAATTCCAGCATCCTGAAGTTCTTTCATAATCTAAAGTAGGCGTGGATGAAGAAAGATAGTCGTTAAAAAGAAATATAATTCCTCAAAATAGGCCAACGTTAATTTTTAATTTTTTAAGGGTGCTTCGATCAATGTTGTCAGACTTAGCTATGACCGGTATAACATTGACGCTTTTGTGGATAGCCTTAAGCATAGCAAAGTCCAAAGACTTTAAACTAGTTAAGTAGTCAAAGGAACTACTGACAATAAAATAGAATGGTTTTGCACCTGTTGTGACAGGGAGTTATCATATATATGCACGCGTGGCAACGTGGATCAGAGAACGCTCGTCTACGCCGAGTGATGCTAATTTCTTCTTGCAGATACTCCTCAAATTTTTTATTGAGGTAGTCAGTAACTAGTTGCATGCTATAAGCAACATTTATTGGGCTTATATGAAAAAAACAATATTGGTGTTTAAAGAGCAGACAAGGACCTGGAACTCCTGTCGATGGCATCGCCGAACCCTACAGTTTGATCAATCCTTAAGCGTAGACAAACTTCTTTTTCTTGAATATCTTTACAAATAAACGTAAAAATCACCATTTGGTTATATTTTTTTGTTTAGAAAAAAAAAATTTACCGTAAGTAGCGCTTTGTATCCAGGTTTCTGGGGTAAAGTGTGTCCTTTCCTCTAATCCCTCCAACTCCTCAAATTCAGTCTTAAATAAAGAATTTATAAGTGTAGTCTTACCACATCCTGTTTCACCTATTTATATAGAATTCAAGGTTACTAGGAAAAATTTAAACTGTGTACTTTTTAAAAGATGGAAAAGGTAATTTTTTCTCTTTTCTGGTTATATGAATAATAAATTTTTATTAAGTAGAAACGTAAAAAAGCCAAACCTACTATAAGGAGGTTGAATTGAAAGCCTTGCTGTACACTTTTATTTACAAGTTGATCGGGAAGGCCATCAAAGCCTACGTGTCCTCGTAGTTCTAAAGTACCGCCACCTAAAGCCTTAATTTAAAAAGATTTAGTGAAGCAACGAGACAGGTGTTTTTTAGTAAAACCAAGTGGTGAGACCCGCAGTAGGCCATCTTTCAAGGCTATACAATAACTTCAAGTGGGAAGATACGCTGCGAAGTGAATAAAACTTGCTATAGAGCTATACTCAATATCTGACTATTACGACCCTTATAAGGCAGTACCATATCCGTTTTTAAACTGTTAGATTTCCCCCTCGCGCTAGAAATGGGGCGGATTTTTATTATCAAGAGTTAACAAACATAACCTTTAATAAAGTTATTTTATTTAACACAATTTTTATATCGAATGAGAAAAAAAAAGATTCATATAACTTTTGTATACATAGTTGAATGGTAATTGAGTAAAGTTAAAAAAGGGATCGTTCGATGTACCTCTTATTTGTAGACAGTGTTTGCCAAATAAAGCCTCCTATAAGGGCACTTACCATCTAATTGTGGGGTTTAAGCTCTAGTTCTTCAATTTTTTTTTGCGGCGCCTCGTCGGCTGTCTATGAGCTTAGCCGAGTCTATCGACAAAGTATGTTATTCGGAACGTTCTTAAGACTTTCTAAACTCCTAGTGTGTTTTTAAGTATTCACAATGATATTTGACTTGACAATAAACTTATTATAAAAATATAAAAGCCTTTTTTTACAACTCGCACAAGTTCCACAGCTTCTGCTTTATCTGAAGAACGTATATCTTAATTTTTTGATGCTTAAAATATCTATTTTCTTTTCTTTAGTTTTTATACACGACCTTTTAATCTTTTCAAATCTTTTTATTTTAACCTATTTTACCTCAGCTGACTCGGATGCCCAAGTAAGCTCGGCATGTGAGGTGCTTTTTTAACTTTATAATTATATTCCCAAAAAACACTATTATGTTACACCAGCGTCTAATTACTATTTTTGCTTATTTACACTTAGTGGCAATTTTTAGTGCAGCTCTATAAAAAGAGAAACCCTGAATTCTTTAAACGTTATGAGTCTAAAATACTTAGATTTTCAAGCGTCGAAAACTTTTTTAGGTTTTAAATTTCCAGTACTTCTTTTTTATTTTTAATTGCTACTTATGTTCGGAGATCTAGTTCCTCATAGTGTTTTTCTTAATTTTTTAACTTTCTTTTTCTAAAAAAACGCCTGAATTCTTGGAGATTTGACTATCCTGAGGAGGAGAACTCGCCTTTTTCTTTTAAAAGAAGTGTTTCTCAGCACACATTTACTATTTTTAACTTGCCTAAAAAAATGAGAAACAAATTCAAGAACGCTAATGGCGAGGTTCATAAAGAAAAGAAACTTACTGATATTCGTTTAGTTAAGAAGTTGCATCGGCCAAAGTTTGGGTAAATACACTATCTACGAAAAATATTTATTCGATAAAAAATATTTAAGTTTTTTGTTAATGACATATATTGTGAGAAAGAGTCTGTATAAAACTTCATAATATTTATTTAAGGCAAGAAATCGCTATGAGCAGTTCTCATTTCCTTTTTTAATAGCTTTAAGGCTATAAAAGTAGTCTTCTATTATAAATCGTTGTGTTAGTTTGTAATTTAACAGTGTTATAAGAATACTCAACTCACCATGCCAGAATATTTACTTTATTATATAATCTTCTCTTAATGAATACTAAGTTGCCTTAGTATTTTATTAATTTTTCAGAAAAACAAAGAGTATGTCCTTAGACTTTCTAGCGACTGCGAACAACGCAAGTTGCTAAGGCAGCTCCAGAAATCACGGATTTATTGCATTGAAAAAAAGGAAGCTAGAAAAGAAAAAAAAAGGGAAGAAGAAGAAGAAAAGTTCCCTTTTTATAAATATGTGGTCGTTCTGCTCATTATTCTTATTTATATAGATTGGACCACGTGCTGCTGACCTCTGCAACTTAAAAGCTTATATTAATTGAATTGAGTTGTAAAAAGTAAGGTTAACAATTAAGAGATATTTAGCGGAATTTGAGTAAGAAATTATCAAAATAGCAACTTCATGTATTATAAAATTCTATAGTAAAAAACTTGCTTCTCTTTGACTATTTCTTTTCCAAAGTTTTATTGTTTATATATTGCGTGCAAATATTGATTTTATAAAGCAAAGCGTTGTTAATTAAGTTTACTGGCTGAACTTTACTCCAAATAAAATAGCTGGAGCTATATTATCTTACTTGAATACATATATTGAACCCAAATTTTAAAAACTAATTATAATTAGTGCTTTCAAGCAAATAATATTTTCACATATAAACGGTTGCTCCCTCTTACAGTAATCTTCGATCTTGTAAAATAATAAAAAGTGTAACTCGTCACTGTTGTGCGAGGTTGTGTGGGTACGTTGGCTAATTTTGTTCTGACCGCTCTACCGCTTTTGGTCTTCGCCGTCACTTTGCTTAGTTTAGTAATTGCTTAGAACTTCTTTGGAATTACTACAATTATTTATAGATTAAATATATTATAAGCACAACTTTTTAAAAAATCAAGCTTTAATCAAATTCACTTTAACTTTTTTAACTTTGCATCTTTTTCTCGAGAATGTAAATTTAACGCGTCGATCTTAGGTTTCCATGCGTTGCACCATTTAATTAATTATAGGAGATAACACTATTTTGGAAGTATATCAATAAAAGACTTAGAGAGTGGAAGCTCAGACAAAATGAGTGAGAAGAGCAAGGGGTAAAGAAATGAGCTTTGTGGGCAGCAATTGGTTACAAGGTAATTGTCAAGGATAGAGGTTTAGGACGTCACGACTAATTTTTTGAATCAGTGAAAATGAAAAGGCCAAAACTTACAAAAAGTGTTAATTTTCCAGGGTTTTCTTCTTTCATAGCGACCCTAATTGCTGTCCTTTGCTCGAAGCATTTTCTATGTTTAGTGAAATTAAACTTGTTCTCGCGGCATGCAATGCTACGAAAGGTCTAAGACAGCGGAAAGTTTTTTTAAAAGTAATTGTTTTGAGCAAGTTTTAATTTTAATTAACAGTAAAACAGCTCCCAAAACTTTCCTACTAAATAAAAAAGTAAGCAAACTAACAAGCCTATATCCAGTTACCGTATTTTGGGAGAGAGTATACTATACTGTTATTGTATGGAAAAGGCTTCTAAAGATTAGGATATTTAAAAAAGTTAAAATTCCACCAAACCTAGCTAAGCGCTTGAAATTCTGTTGGAAATTTATGACAGTCTTTCTACTGTTAAGCCTATAAAGGATATCGTTTGCATCTAAGTTTACAGATACGAGAAGGACAGATCTGAGAATTTAAAGGTAAGATGTGAAATTTCAAGATAAATAGTTTTAATTTGTTTTAGCTCATTAAAAATATTCATATGTTAGATTATAGCTATTGTAAAATTACATTTTTTAAATATATAAACCCTAGGAGTCATTATTGCCAGTAAGCGCTCTTGGCGACCGCACTTAAACTATGCAGCAGTGAAGGGTTAAGAGACGACTCAAACTTTTTAATCTTTTACTTTGTGCTTGAAGAAAACTCATCTTGCATACCAAGCGATACTTATATATGTTATCCGGCCAATCATAAAATACACATCCTTTGTTTGAGCCTACTCACAAGCAATAGTCTCTTCGCGTCAAGTGAAACAAAACATGACGGGCACTGTTATTTGTGTAAAACGTGGCCTTTTATCAAAAACTTCAGCTTGAGCCCACGGCTACAGTTCTTTTACGCAATGCCAAAATCACCTACGTACAGCTTAGCAAACAAATTCAATTAATGGTAGAAGAGTTCAGTTACGAACCGCGGGGCAGGGCACGTAATCACCGCCGCGCATTGCGCTTTAAATTTTTGTTTAAAAAAAAAATAGGGTCTAGAACAAGATTTAAAAGAAGATATATAATATTTGAAATTGCGTAAACACACGCTTTAATCCGGTTTATTCGCTCTCCACTCTGTTAAAGGCTCGTAAATTTATTGTTTCTTGACCCGAGCAAGCACAAGTTAAAGGGTTCGAAGTTTATGCATCGTCAGTAACCACGGACGGTCCACTAATCTAAATGATAATTTATGTTTACGTCCTTTGTTAATTGTGCCTTAACCACATGGATGTGACTATTATATTATTAAAAATGACCATACAAGCGGAATAGGGTGCCAACTCGGGAAATGTCCTTAACGAACAAGCGTAATAATATCGATGAAATAGTTTGACCTCAGCAAGTTTCCAAGTCATTGTAAAGAAACTTTTTTGCGAAAAAGGGGGCAAAGAAAGGTTATTATAATTTGTAAGAGAGTGGTTTTTAGCATTAACTAAAAAAAGGTAGAGCATAAAAGATATTATTGTTTATAATAGCCCATTAAGAAAAGATATTTAAAATGAGTTTAAAAGGGAGTATGCGACTGGCAAAAGAATTAGAAAGAGCACGCTAATTTTCCCAAGCTTAACCTAACCCATGACTACCCAAGCCGCCATAACCTTTTACCAGTCATCCCTTTAATATTCTGCTATAAAAGGTCGTTGACTTTTTCAAAACATATAACGGTGGTAGGGATCACTTTGTTGGTTACGCTGATCAGGCAAATAGGTGCAGTGTACCGAAGACTATATTAAAGACCTTTTTGCTCAATATATACTTATATGTGTAAAACCGTAAAATAAAAAGGATCCTAAAACTAAGGTGTATCTCACTGACATCATTTATATATTATAAAACTCATGGGAAAAATTTCGGTTTATTTTACTGTTATACTATTATTGCTGTTAAACATTAATAATAAAAATAATTTTTGTTTTTTTTTTGATTTTCACAGAGTATGATTAAAAACTTTTTTTGACTTCAATAAGCCCTAAGTAGGTGCTAGGCAAAAGAAAAGTACCAAGACGAAATGTAAATTTAGAACTGCATAATAGCAGAGGAGTACCCTATAAAACACTTCGATAATAAAGTTCATTCAATAAATTTAACCTTAGACAAAATATACTCTATTCTTTCAGACTAAACGTTGTACCCTTCATTTACCTACACAGGGCGCTGCAGAAGCGCAGACAAGCAAAGAATGAGAGAATAATCTTTATTATGTTGTTTTTCCAAGTTAGTCTGTTTGCTCGCCAATGTTTTCGTTTACTCCGAAAGATCTCCCCTGAAAGCGACAGAAATTGGTCAGCGGCTCCACCGAGGCAAGTAAAGATGGCGGTACCTCCTCGGGGCGCCGGTCTCTCTGATAGGCTGCAAGCTGCTTTTCGTACTCTTTTTTTTTTTCGAGATATAACTTTTCGTACTTCTATAAAAAGAGGTTAATAAATGCAACAAAAAAGGCTACAAGATTCAACTGATTTAGTTTCAGGACTAGATGCTTTCCACATCTCAGCCAGCTTCTGTATAATCTGAGGGGGTTTCAATCCTACACAGCGAGAAGAAATTTAAGAAAAGCAAAATCAGAAAAGTAGACGGAGTCACAGTGACCCTTCCCCAGAAGTTCTCTTCGCTTATCTAAGTTGTGCAGCAGAAAGGCGGATGGCGGCTTCTTGGGCGCCAGCGGGTCCTACAAGAGGTAAGAATCTGAACAAATCGCCCAGCAAGGAAAGATATGACCCACTTTAATTGCTTTTTGCCGCTTTTTCTTAGATGGTAGCGCTCGTCTAGGCGACTCGCCATGCCGTTTCGAAGGCTTGACTGGCGTTTCCTGTAACTCCGACATAACCGGGCCTGACTTTTTGGGCAAAAAGTGATCCTCATTCTAAAAAAAAAATAACCAAAAAATAACCTCGCTGTCGGAGTGGGAAACGCCTCCCGAACTTTCGTTAAAGTCTAGAAAAAAAATTCAATTAATGCGGAGTATAAGGAAACGGAAGAAGAAACTTGAGTCACTATCGTCATCCTCCGTGCTAGAGGGCTCAGCAACAAAATCTTCGTCTTCTTCGCTTTCACTCTGCAAACCGGAGCGGTTCAGCGGAAAGTTGTAGGGATCCTGTTCGTCATTGTCCTCGTCAAAACTCATTGGGCGGACCTAAGAATTAAAAATTAACTTTCCTTATAAAAGTATAATATTCCAAATATATAATAATAAAAAGAGCGAGAAAGGAAGGGTGCTCAGACCGTATCAGAAACGACACACTTGACTGGTTTATTATGCATGTGTTTCAGCATAAGATCGTAGTGCCCCCTCAAAATCAAATATATTCATTTGAAAAAAGAATTATACTTCGTAATAATACTTTTCTTGACTGATGTTGAAGGAATACTCCTCCCCCGACTTGCTAACAACGATCATAGAGCCGCCAGTTCCTAGAAAAAAATTATTCGCATCGAAAATAAGGAATCATATGTATAATTGATAGCAGGTGCAATTTACCAACGCGCTCGAATCGGATGTGCGAAATGTCGGAATCTCGTATGTATATAACGGGCTGCGCGGGCAAAAACAACGTAAAAAGTAAACAAAAAAATGAAATAATACCTGATGAACAAAGATCAAGCCGCTTTTTAAAGGAAAAATAACGCCAACTTCCGCTTTAAAGCTACATTTTACCAGCGGAAATCCCTCATCACTAAAAATTGAGATTAAAACATATTAAAAAAGGAAAAAATAAAGAATATAAGGCACTTGGTAAAGTCCGGAAACGGAGTAAGAACTTTTTTTTGGGATAAATTCTTAATTATCTTTGTAAGAACCTCATAAGTAGCGCCATCCATGTGCTCTTGGAGAGAATCTCCGTAAGGAGCCTAATTAAAATTATTAAAATCCCAAATAGCTGCAAGGCTAGCAACCACCAGATCCTCCTTCGAGAGATTTAGATCAGCCTCGATCCGTTCTGTAGTCGGTATCACCAACACGAGAAAGGAATGGAGTTTCTGACCTTTGCGTAGCGGTTGATTCAAGCAAATCTAAATAATAATGAAATTTTACACTTAAGATAAAAGTTTTATAAATAATTGCAATTAACTTCTATATTAAACTATTATTAACTCTCACAAAATAAATTTTATAGGTTATTTATAATATAAAAATTTAGAAAAACTCCGAATTTTAAAAAAGAAACAAAAACTTTCTTATACCACAAAGAGAATCGAATCAGAATCCCTCGGAAGTAAAAAATAGCGGAGTATATTGCTATACTCTACGGTGTAGCTAGAAGATTTTCCATGAAGCTGAAAGCAATCTTTGTATAGACGAAAATCATGACGGCCGCTGAAAAATAGTTAAAGTAAATAACTATTAATTAAAAAAAACGACGAAAAGTTTATAAGCCGCCCAAAAAAGTACAGAAAAAATTTTAAAAAATAATATTTTATCAAAAATTTATTATAAAATTCAACGTGAACTAAAAAAAGGAAGGATATACCGAGGAACCAGGAAATGTACTTCGGGAAATGCAACAATAAGCGGGGAAGTCTCGCTTTTGAAGTCACAACGAGATGTAAGGTTTGCGTGAAATTTCTAAAAATCGTGATTAATTAAGTTTCTATCTATGAAAAAATATATATAAAGACAAAAAAATAACTTTCCGAAAGTCACAGATCTATGAAATTATCATTACTTATAAAAATTCTTATAATTATGTTAAACAAAAATTAAAACAAAAATAAAACAAAAGAAAAAAGTTTAGTAATACGATACCATATTAAAAAATAAGACATAAAGTAAAAGGGAAACTATCCCTTCATAATAAAAAATATAAGCAAACCATTAACAAAATTTAATTATAATTGAACGAAAAGAAAAGAAGTACTTCAGCTAACGTCAAAGTTGGGCTCTCAAAGTCGTTTGCTGCCTCGGAAACTTCGCTCGTCGGTTTTGGAAAAGTAAAGCGAACTTCACAAAGCGTCTCACCTTCAATATTCTCCTATTATATAGAGAGAGTTAAAATAATCAAATGTGTAAAAAATCCTCAATTACAGAAGAATCCTTGAACTGAATGGAAATGTCTTGCTTCTTAGAAATGTTTACACGTTCTACTGAGTTAATAGGAAAATCAAAAACATTCTCTCCTTCGTGGTTAAAAAAAACATAATCTCCTACGAACATATAAAAACAGTTAACTCTGAAAATTAATTAATAGTTTTCTAACCTCTTATTTCTAAATCTCCCCAATTAAAACCATTTGTAGTCGTTTTGATTTCACTAACCTCAATGGGAGTCCGTCTCTTAATAAAATTTACGATACTCAAGATTTCCTATACGTATGTACTTGTTAAATTAATCTTTCTCGGGTAAACTATATTCGTTACAAACCCCTTCATCTTGAAAACCAAAAAAACTTATATGAGAATCATCTTTAAAATGCAAACGTAATTCATAGCCTTTAGCACAGATTCTGTATTGAACATTCGCTATTTTACTTTTTTAATAAAAAACATTCAGTACTTAAAAGGCAAAGCTATATAAACTTCATATTATGCTTTACTTTATCAGAGACTCTACTTTACGCTTGTCTCCTTTTAGATCTTGATAAACAATTTTATCTTCACTGCAATGCAAAGTACCCTCATTCTAGAAGTTACAAAGCATCATTACGTATAACAAACAATAAAAAAGAGGCTTTTAAACGAGCGCCTAAATAGATTAAACAGGAAATAAAAAGGGTATATTAAAAAAGTAAGGTAACATTTATAATACCCCCTTTCCCCAAGAAGAACTCTCAGAAATGTTATAGTAGCTCAATGTGGACATATTGTATTAGGAGTTCAGGTGAAATATTGCAGTCCATCTAGTAGTGCGGAGCCTTTTGCTGGAAGAAATCTCGATGACCACTTATCATTTGCCGATATGAAGTACATAGTGACAGTAAAACTTCTGTTAACCACGAGGTTTGCACAGATACCATAAACAGCGCAAAGACACCTCTTAACTCTAACACATGCACAGCAAATGCTAGGTAATAATTTTTTTTGTTTAAATAAAAAGTGGACGCATAACACAGGCAACTAATGTATTATAAATTTTCAGCTGGTCTTTTTTTTAGTATGGAGTGGCTACGCAAGCGTGGAAGTACGAGAATTACGAACCGTCGACTGCAATTACCACCTAGCCTCAATAAATAAACTATACGTGTGACTGCGTTACATAATACAATAAATTCGTTTTGTAGAAGAGTAAAACCAGCTTAAAATTTTCATTTTTAAACTTTAATCAATTTTTTGAAACCATATAAACGTTATGCATACCTATTATAATAGCATTTAATAGTTGCTAGAGAAGTTGATATGTCCTGAAATTTCTAGTCTAGAAAACTAAACGACCTCTCTCGATGGAGAGAAGTTATTATATGAGACCCCATAAACGAGACTATATAGTCCTTGTGGTGATGCTAAAAATTACGTCAACTTAGGCCAACAGTTTCTGGTCAATGGTTCGAATAGACAATTTAATTTTAAAAAGCGCGCTCAAGGCTCTCTGTCTGATAACGCTATCAACTTACACTTTCTTTCAATTTTAGAAAACGACGTGCGTATTTTTATATACCGTGGAAAAAGCATTTAACCGAGTTTAACATAAAAATTGTTTTACAATTTGTACGTTCACAAGCTGCACGTCATTTAACACATGTTCGACCTGAGATCGTGTCTTAAGCTATACTAGTCTTAAGAAATCTAGCTGCGGGGATAGTTTACGCTCTTGGTCTGTAATTAATATGTGCATGCTTTCCTCTGTCGATTAACATCCACAGGCGAATGACTTTTACACCGCTATCGGTGAGTCTTGACCTTCCGCGCTAATACGCCAGTCACTGTAACGGTAATTGTGCGGAGCAGAGCAACATTTATACCACAAAAAACCGACGCCGCTGGTCTGCGGAGACCAAATGGTATTCTGGGCGTTCGATAATAATTATAGAGATACGTTATAATTGGAATGGCAAAGCGGTAATCCAAACTCTATACCCTCTACTCTGCTGCGCAACAAGCACTTATTTTATGTACGAATGTTGTAGTGTATCAAATATTTTTTTGGAGAAAACCTACACGCAGAAAGCCTGAGCTGCACCAGCAGCGGCAGGAATTGAACCCGCTAAATTGATTTTGACCGTCGATGCTCATAATACTTAGCTACGGTGAAAACTTACACTCCTGCCTAATGAATTTCGTACACATCGTTAGTTATATTCAGCCTGTGCTTATGCTTAAACTACTGAGCGTTGTGGTGGGGGAGAGCATTTAGGTAGGTGCGAAATGATGCCTTACTCTCGCTTTTGTCGCTAAATAATGTTTTCCAGCGCAAATAAATAGCCTGCCGGTTAACCGCCTCTTTACACGCGAGTTTAAAGACATGAGAGACGAGCAAGTCTTTCGACCGGAGCGAATTTCGGAGGTTAAAGTCAACTTTGATCACCTTTTATCTCTTAGAAAGCAATCATAATGAGATTCCAAGGTTTCATCTTCCTCTGAATAGAATATAAATCCAGTAGCCTTCTTGATTTTTCAGATAGTCCAAGAAAGCTCTTGACAGTTCGCCATTCTCTGTACTATTTGTATTAGAAGACTTGCGCCCTCTTTTTGGCGTGGTAAGAAATTAGTCAATGTGCTTTGGTGGGGGTTAGAGTTAGATGTAATGAAAAGTAGACAAGTTTAAATTGTTTTCCCATAAATAGCTGGAGTTATAATATATAACGACTATTAGTTCAAGAAAGTAGAGTTAATAAACGGAACATTTTACAAAAACTTTTTAAAACTACTTTTATTCGATATGAAAGTGTAGTAATAGTGTTTTAAAGCTTTTATGGAAAAGCATTAACTATTGCAAAGATAATAAAAGTTTTCTTGTGAAGCCTGATAGAATTTAATACGTTAAACTTAAAGTTTTATGGGGGAATATGTAAGGTACGCTTTGGCTTTTAGAGTATACTTTTTGATATAACTATAAGAGTATTTGTTTAATAGTGGTTCTGCGGTATTTATTAAGTCCTTAATACATATATTCTATCAAATGTTAATGTAAATATTGACTTAAAGTGTCTCCGCTGGTTTGAGTCGTTCCATCATACCAATTTAGGGAACGATTTAAATTACTAATTCGTCGTTGAAACAGGCTAAATAGTTGTCTTTTAGTTAATTCGCTTCAATACAGTTTACTAGTAGTTTTTCTGCAAAAAACCTAAAGCAACTGTTTAATAAATAATTATTGTTAACTTTTTCTCACTTCTCTTCCCTTCCTTTAAAGCTTTGGTACTGCATTTGTATAGGGTTCAGCCGTGGGCTACTTTAAGATGCTTATCGTTAGTACTTACCCGATTTTGTATATGAGAAGTAACTGCAAAGTAGCAGCGCCATAAAGAATTAATTTCTAGTAAAAGATTTTATTTGTTCCTACGACGCAATCTTAATATAACGAATTTTGAAAAAATTAGCTGTGACCTTAAAGAACATATGAATTGCAGGTAACGAAAAAGCACATGTCGTCTTTGTTTTAAGGAGAAATACGCTGAGCCTTGAAAGGTTTTCCTCCCTACTTTTTGGGTTAGTTTTCTCTATTAGCATTTTGGACTTGTGGCCCTATTTATTTTGTTTTGGTATCTCTAAAATTCCAATATTATGTTTGAGTTTATTTTTTCTATACGTATAAAATAGATAACAGGCATCTAGCTTACTAGCTGATAAACGTTTTTATATACTTCGATTAATGTTTTAATATCTTTTCTTTTAAAGTACGTATGCGAAACAGCACTTAATTAACTATTAACTTATATTTATTTCTCGCTTTTAAAGTTTATATTTTAGATTGAAGAATGCACTCTGCTGTTTGGTATTCGCATCCACGGAAATATGGCCCCGGCTCCCGCCATTGGTTTTCCTTTAAATAGCGATTATGTTAATGTTTATTTATATAGACAAGTTTAACTCACGTCATTCTTACATTAGTCGAGTTTGCGGAAACCGACATGGTTTAATTCGTAAGTATGGTTTGAATACCTGCCGTCAGTGTTTTCGTCAGTATGCTAAGGACATAGGTTTTAAAAAGGTTGATCTCACATTTAGTATAAAATTTACTAAAGCTAATATATAAATTAAGTATCGCTAGAGGGACCTTTACATAAAGATTCACTTGAATTATAAATAAAATTTTTGTTCGGTTTTTTTTTTTAGTTTTTGTTTTAATTCCAATGAAGACACTTTATTTGCTATTGCCGTGAGCATATCCCTTCTAAGAAGTTCTGAGGAATTCCTTTTTACTTTGTTTTTCTTTGTGATTTTTTATTTATTCACTTTAGTTTTAACATTATTTTATTGATTATCGTAATAAGCTTTGCGTAGTAAGTAGAAACTGTACATTCTTACAAAATTAAAGACTTGCTTAATTTGTTTTATTATTTAACCGAGTTTTAGCTTTTTAACTTTCGAGCTTTTTTGCTTTAAAAAAAATTAGTTTTTTGTAAGGGAAAATTTGGTTTGAGCTTTTTCTGCTTATCTAGTAGCTTCTGTGGAATGGCAAGGAAGTTCGGTATACGATTACTGCACTTTTTAAAGCATAGCGGTAATATTTGATTGGCACTGAAGTTATGCAAACTAATTAAATTAACTTTAAGTGCTTTTTGAAGCACTGGATAAGGCGATCTTTTTTACCAACTGCTTAACTTAATGTGTTCAAGTAAAAACCGGGGTTGCTTTTTTATTAGAGCGCTATTGTAGGAATTGTCCAGTGGTTGAAATTTTCATCATAGCCTTTCAAGATGTATCATATATAAGCGTAATAGTTAGTTAGAAATAAAATTAGTTATAGATTTTAAACTGCTTTTAAAGGTTTGGTTTTTTGCTGTTTACGACAAATATATCAGCTTGGGTTTAGGGAAGTAGCTGTGTTACCTATAGTGAAGCGAGTAGAAGTCTGGTATGTAGGTAGCGGAGTGGCACACATATTTTTATGGGTTAAGGGGAAGATGGAGCTAAAGAGCCCCAAGCCTCGAACCGCCTCGGGAGTAGCCGCCTGTTTTTAGAAAAAAAGTCCGCTTTTACTATTCTATCTTCTATTTCTAGCGCCTACTCAGCAAAAATACAGCGCCTTACACAAGTTTATATAAACCAATACAAGTTATTCAAGTTTATTAGAAATTACTTGTAATTGGAAGAGGTACTTAAAACTTTGGTTAATCTTAAATTTATAATAAAGGTTATAAAATTAAGCATACTTTTTATAAGTTTATTATTATTTTTATGTGTACCTATTTCTAATTAGTCTGGTGGCGTCCACAAGTCACCCACTGAATTAATGCAGTAGTTTGGATAAATGCTCCCCTCGTTATTCTCTAAAGAATCTGGTCGCTGGACGCCTGTGAAGGAGCAGCGGGGATAATTGGTTTTCAGTGTTCTTAGTAAAGCCTGAGTACCCGTAAAGACGAGCAGTGTCTTCGCCCCGATACTCTTTCCGAATAATATGTCAGTCTCCAGCCTGTCCCCCACCATGCAGGTTTTGCTCACATCGAGTTCAAGTCTTGGCTAGGGTGAGACTACCACAGCTATTTTTGGTGGAAGAATGTACCACCTGTGCGTAACATAGTCCGCGAGAACTTTGCTCGGCTTCCCCATGACTGGAAGTTGTTACCGTTATATGACTGTCATTTATAACAACAAAGTGTGCAACCAATCGAAGTTCTGTTGACGGCGTATTCTAAAAATTTAACTAAACATCCGCACCCTTTGGTGCGTATAAATAAAAATAAGTTTTAAGAGTCTGAAACAGGTCGGTTAAGTGAGTGCCTGGGGCAAGCCTTCCGCCTCCGCAGGGGTAGGTAGCATCAGTGTTGGTGGCAATAAACAAAATGCGTGGATCCTGTAGATAGCATATGGCCTACTTGCGGTAAACATCACGTTAGGAATTAAAATTAGCGAAATTTTTAGTTACACGCCTTAGAAAGGTTTAGATAGGACATGTTTTTGTCCAAACCAGCGACTACAGCAAAAACTTTGTCGTCCGGTTTCCAAGCTTTAAATTTTTCACCATCGAAAGGATGTTCACTCTATTAGTATATATTCATTCGTCTACACAGAGTTTAAATAAAACATAAACTAAAATGACCTGAGCGCACTCAACCTCTATTCCAACATTGCTAAGCTCCTCTATTAACCCGCTTTGTCCTATAGCGAAAACCTACGTATTAATTAGTTATAAAGTTTATAAAAAAAATTTCTTTTGTTTACCTTCTTGGCGGATTGCTGGCCCTCAAGTTTGCTCTGCAGATATAAGGCGGCTAGGTAGGAAGACGTTATAACCTGATTCTTTATGTAAGGTAACTTTAAAATACTAGTAGTAAATTTAATAAGCTTATATTGTATAGTCGATAATCGGTTGTGAAAGCTTAATAGACTTTTTTAACCGACCCAACTCTAGTGCTATCCATTGAAAAGTTGTAATTAACGTAAAAAAGGCCTAAAGAAATTTATTTCATGTAAAGAGTAACACTAAAGTTTAACGCACAGATAAAAATTATAATTGACTCAAAAGTTTGTTGCTAAAAATAAAGGTTAAAAAGTATAAATACCAATTCAACAACTAGTCCAAAATTTTTAAACTTTGAAATATATTCTGCTCTTGATCTTGTACTATTGTTTGTTAGAAAATAAAGCTTTTTTCCCTATACCCAAATTTTTTAGGTACTAATGGAAAATATGAGCGAAAGACAGGCTTAACTAAGTTCTGCAGTTGCAGTACGGCGTCAAAGGCGCCCGGAATGAGTTTTTCACCACACCACAAAACACCGTCGCAGTCAAATAAAAAGTAGTCAAACTGATTTATAAATAACGCTTCAAGCGATTTTTTACTTCTATTATTGTTCAAATCCACAACGCCAAGATCTCGAAATCTACCCATTAAAAATAAAATGTTGTGGCGTTAAAAATTTCCTATGCAGCGGTGTAATTCTGATATTAAACTAAGCTATAGCACGAAAGAATAGATAAATTAAATATAGCAAAAGGAAATTTTTCATTAGCTGTAAGTTTTACTTATTTATATTTTTTTTCGAGCTTTTAGTCTATCTATTAACTTTAGTTATGGAATGCTTTTTAATCCACTTGCTCCTTCGATACAAGCAAATCCTTTAACCCATAAATTTTATTTGTGTATACGCTTGATTATTTTGTCGATTTGTTTATTTCTGTAGTGGTAATATTAGTGTTTTAGAATAGAATTTTTTTTATGTATTAAAATTTGTTGGAGGAAATTGATTACGTAACAACCGAGATTAGAAAGTAAAATATTATATGTGTAGAAGGTGTAGAAGTTGTAAGCAAAATTGGTTCTACGAAAGACTGTAGTCCTTTCCTTTCAGGCGCTTTTTATGTGGCACGTTGAGGTAATGTACTCAAGAGCGTTACTACTCATGTTATTTTTATATTATAAATAATATACTAATTTACTTAACTTTAGCTGGTAAAATCTTTAATTGCAAAGGAGCGTAAACTTTCTCAATTTTGTTAATTTATGCTCTCTCTATGCGTACTTTGATATATTAACTGTAGCGCCTACGCCAGGGAGTAGATTTAGGAGAGAAACAGAAACAGATTTATTAACCCGCTTTACGCCTATACCCAAATGACAAGAGTGAAGTAGAAGGCGCATTATACAAGAAATATATTTATCTTAGAAAACATCAAAATGCATAATATGGTTTTTTTTCTAATAGCCGTAATTAACTATATTCATCAGATGCGCGTACCTCGTAGCAATACTCTCGATTAAAAATGGCGAGAATCTATACATGTATGTACTTAACACAGTTGTTGTAAGGGACATGACTCGAAATTATAATAGTGGCTCAACCTTTTGTAAAAGTATATGCATACATGTGTTTTAATTCCTGTATATGCAGTTAGAGATTACGTGTACTTTGTTTCAAGGGCTGGGGTGTTATTAGTTAATTGTTAACAGGAAAAGAGCAATTTAGTAGGAATAATAATCAAATGTCAAAGGGGAAAAAAAGAAATTACAATGTTTTCCGGGTTAAGATTTTTTCCTCACTTAATTACGTGACCTTTAAAAGGTAATTGTACTTATTATTGTTGATATTACATGCCAATAAGTGCTCTCCACTTTAAATTACTGAAAACTGTTGACAGCTTACATTATATAGAAAGCATATTGTACAATACTAGCACACTAAAACTGTTGTTCCTGACGTGTCATCGTACATGTTTTCTATCGTTGGTATGGATTACCCCCTTTTATTCTTACTAAAGGTATAAACACCCTCTTTCTACTGAGTAGTAAACTGATCACTTTTTACCCCTTTCATCTTTGTAAATTATTTGTTGCTAAATTATTATTAATATTATTGTAACGAGTTTAAAAATTACTGACTTCCTAGAGCTAAGCTTACGAAACCCTCGGATGTACTCGGTAATTAATGCCAATGTTTTATAGCATAAGAATTAAACAACCGAGGGCACGCATCAAGTGCTTAGATAAATGCAGCCCATGCGCCGACTGCTACCTTTTTATTATCCTCCCTTCCTTTTCCTGTACAGTCGCTAACTTGCCTCATAGTCCATAATATTAAATAAATTACTACTGTGCTTCAAGTCTGTCGAGCAAGCTATATTATATCACTTTACAGTCTATAATATATTAATTTTGTATTACTTATTGCTTATAATACACCAGTTCTCGAGTATTTCCGGCCTATAAAATCAACTATACCCAAAATATACAAATTGGAAATAGCCTCCATAGCAGCTACGAGAGGCCTTCTTTAACGATTCGGTAGGGTAATATTACATATTGTAAACATACATAAAGGGGGGTATATTTGTTCATTATAAAAGCGCAACTTTGCTTATGTAAATACCAACTCATAAATAAATGAGCAAGATAAGAAGGAAAAAGAAATAATCAAAATACAACATAAGAGGTGAGAAACCGAACTATAGAGAGAATAAACCAAATTTAAGCTTAACCTTTTATTTTAATACTTTTGTTCGATGAGGTCACCACCTCAGCACTAACCAACCACGCTCGTCTCGGTTGGACTTCTCAGCGAGGGGAATAAAATGGTTTTTCACCGTCATCCTGAAAACCCCTTTAATAATTAAATAATCTAGAAACGGTTTTTCCTGGCTCTCGATCAAGTAGAAAGCTTTCTCTCTGGGGTACTTGTAATTTCAAATTTATAAAGTTTTGAGCTGAGAGCCACAGTAAGTGATATTACGACGTGACCACCTTCCATAGTACTGCTCACTTAGATTGAACGAAAGAAGTGCTTGAGTACAGTACATAATTATATACTCATAATAACCATGGTAAAAATAAATTTATGTACAGCACTTGCATATATGAGGGCTATAAGGTTAAGGAAATTACTAGGCTGGAGTTTATTACACTTTATAAGTCTAGAATACTACTCTAAGGAATAATTAAGAACTAAGTTTTAAAATAATTAAAAATGACTTGTTATTCGCCATAGAACCCAGACATACTAATCCCGTAGCATGTAATGTATATAATACATCCACGCCAACTTGCGTCTGAAACTATACGAACTCCAATAAATCTTGAGGTCTAAAAAACTAATTTTTAGATACCATGTCATCCTTGTACTGTACTCTGGAAGAACTTATTCGACGCAGTCTTTCCCATAAAGAGGTTACATCTTTTCAATTGGCTAAGATCAAAATATCAAGTCTCATGTCGTTATTAGCCTCTCTCCTCCATTAACTTAAAAAAGCACAGAAATAATCAACCCCTAAACACGCCAAAAATTCCATTATCATTTTACAATATAAGAAAAGTGAATCTCCATAAAACTTTATCTAACGGAACACTGTTCACTACAGCAAATTTATTGCCCACTCTGTCCTTAATAAGGAAATCATACTAGCTGAAAGCTTGATCTTATATTACTTTTCAACAAAAAATATTATAGCAAACTGTAGGCTACCGAGAAAATTCTAAAAATTCATCTGGAACCCCAAAAGTGTATTCACGGTAACTTATAATTTAAAACAATATTAATATATATATATTAAAACAATAATTACAGTAATAGCAATACTAGTAATAACAGTAATATTAAAAATAAGAAGCAATTGAGTAACCAATGTAACTTAGAGAAAACGACCTGAGTAATATCACCCTTCTGTTCAGAGTACCATGAGGATAGGGTAGAGAATTCAACTTTTTAATTGGTATCTTCACTAGCAGCGGTTTGAAGGGTTATTAAAATCCATTTCTTGCATTTATATAACCCTTTACATCGTCTTTCGTCCAATTATGAGGATCTAAGAAACCTTAAATCTTCTCACTTGTACTTTTACTTTGAGTTATTTATTAGGATTTAGGCAATCTTCTATATTAGTATCTTTTTCCTTCCGTTTATTAGGCTCCAAGTAATCTTTTAAATTGTCTACAGCCTTTGAGTGTGCTTGTTATAGATATTGCTAATATCAGAGTAGCTCGGTTTCTTCCAACTTAAAGCTGACGCCGATAATCCACTTGCCGATACCACGTGACGGTTATGTATTATATTTCATCTACCACGAAGTAATTCCCGTGAGGTGTAAATACTTTTTCTTTAAAGGTTAACAGACTGACCGCCCTTGCTCTCCCCCCCCCCCGGCATTTTGAGAAAAAGAGGTAAACTCTAACAATCTTCACGAGACGCGCACGCAGAAAAAGGTCATGGACGTTGTAGAAGTGCTCATGAGGGCGCTCCAGAGTGAAAAAGAACTCTTCACAAAAACTGCTGAGCCGTGAAATTACGACCATTCTCGCTAACCTCTACAAACTGCGCAGTACGAGAGTTCCGACAGCTTTAACGTTCGAGTAGGCTGATCATGGGGAGTTTGCTGGCGGGGTTGTACTGTCTTTTAAAGCACCACAACAATGCTACAACATTTAAAAAAAGAGTAACAAACTGCTTTTAAACTCAAGTAGAGCTGCTTTTTTCATGAACTTCAATTATGGCGACTCAATTAAGACTAATGTAAAAAATTTATTATATGGTGAGCCTGGCATGTCGGCATAGGGCGAGTTCCTAGCCGATGCATACTTAGAAATTATTTACACTTTCTTTTTTAAATGGAGTAGATCTTTAATTTATTATGTAAAGAAAAGTAATTAAAGTTTAAAAAGAAGTAATACTTGTATACTGAACGCATTTGATAACAGAAAGAAAAAAAAGTGAAAAAGTAAATGGCTTTACTAATCAAGATTTTCAATGCTTGGAGAAAGAGCTAAAAAGGAAATAATAATTATTTATAAGTATAAATCTTTAAAATATTACTAACTTTCAGAGTCTTCGGACTCGAAATCATCATCTGAAGACTCTTTCAATTGCGTTAAGGCAGAAAGCTTCTCATTTTGAGCAACTAATAATGATTTTAATGAACGCAATTCCATTTGTAGATCTTCAATATCGTTCAACAAAGATTGATTGGTTTTTTGAAGCCTCAACAAGCAAATAAGAGGAGTGGTTAAACTGTTGAACTAATCAACACCTTCCATTTAAATGTTGGGATTCTTCCAAATGATTCTTTAAATCCCGTGAAATTCGGTTCATTTCATTTAACTGCAAATTGGCAGCTGCACTTTCCTGCCGGTCTCTAAGCTTAATAATGTTATTAGTAATGTTATTTAGTAATATAGTAGAGGACAGCAATACGCCAGATTCCTCCAGTTGCTCGTGCTTTCTTTCTAAACATCGAAGTTTATTTCTCTGGCGGTAATATATATAAAAAGTTTGCATTAAATATAAGCAGCGCCATGTGAACTCATGTGGCCGCCCATTCTACCCAGTAAACGAGTACCAAAACGTCTCTTTCGCAGCATAAGCAGTCCATTTCGTTTTGGAGATCGTTATATTTCAGAAGCAAAACTTCAAAAGAGCTTTTTTTAACGCTTCCATTTTCAAGTGCTGTCAGTTTTACTTTGAGTTCTTGATTCTTATAAAAAAGTATTATTTTTATATGAAAATAAATAAAATTAATCAAACTTAACAAAATGTTAATAGAAGATTAAAATAGTTTTACAATAACTTAAATAGTTTCGATAATTTTGTGAAATTCTTATAGAATTATAATAATAAAAATAAGTTTTTGTATAAGTTAAAAAAAGTTTAATAGTTTTTGAATTAATTTGAAAAGTGCAATAAAATTATTTATTATAAATAACTTCTTTTAATTTAAAAAGTAATTTATGTAGATCAAAAAGAATAGTGTGGCGGTTAATAAAAGTTTTATTAGAAAAAAAAACATAAGCAGTAGTGCCTCTTTGTAAAACTCCTCTATACGCGCTGCCTGAAGTTCTTCCTCTTTTATATAAGTAGTAATTCTATAAGAAAAATAGTTGGGAAGGATATAAATTAATAACAACAGTACTCTATAGTAATATTTATACAAATAGAAAGAATAATAAAAAATAGAAATAATTATGAAAAATGTGAAGTAGCCATTAAAATAACAGACGGTCACGTTTAAACATCTGGAAATACGCGGTCTTCAGTTTGTAGCAATTTTGTGCTACTTAAAATCTTAATTATGTATTATTATGAAGCGCAAAAAAAACTTCGAGTTTCCTGCTGTTTGTTCCAGTAAATTATTTGTGTAGCAATGGCCAGTAGGTTTTACATGTGCATGTAGGCGGTTTATATTTTACTAGTCCTTTTATATCCCGCTCTTGTAAAAACTTTAACTCTTTTTCTAAATGGCTGCACTAAATCTACTGGAGCTCCTTGGACCCAATCGCTCTCAGCCATAAATGTAAATACATGTTATAATAAAAAAGTAGAATTGTTCAGCAACACTTATAACAAGTTATAACCCTAATATAATATTAATATATAGTATAAATGTTTAATATTTACATAAAAAGTTAATAAGCGCTTTAATATTAAAGTAAGATCACAATAATATTATTAAATAGTTTTACTTTGCATTAGCCTTAAGCAAATCTCTAGATAGCGAATGTATTTGAAGTTCGAGTTTTGAGATATTATCTTCATGCTCTTCTGCAAAACCCACCGATGCTTTGTAGTTGAAAGTCATCTAAAAGTGTACTTATATCAACCTTAATAAATTGTATGCATTTTCGCGTAGAACACAACTAACTTGTAAGCAAATGACTTTTTTCGTAGTACATAATAATATGAAACTTTTAAGACTTTAAGTTGTGTCATTTAAAAGAATTAGAATTGCGAAAATTATTTTTTTTACATTCATATAAATTATGGAATGAATAAAAATAAAGATGAGCTTGTGAACGAAAAGGTTGTTAAGCGATTATAACTTGCTTTAAACGTTTCTCCAGAGACTCTTTCTCTACCGTCAAAGACGCGTGCTCTTCGGTACATTCGCTCATTCTTAGGGAAAGTTGTTGGTTTTCTATAATAATAGTAATTTGTCAAGGCAAAAAAAGTATAAAGATCGGTCAGAATTCTCAAATATAAATGCTATTAGTTAAAAAAGTTCACTAAATGATTAAAAATGTATTGATTGGCTCAACAAAATCGAATGAAACAGTTTACTTTTCATGCACCATTCATTCTCGCGCTGCAAATCTTCCATTTGCTTTTTTAATGCATAAATCCTGTTATTGACTATTTCATAGTCTGGACTGGTGATTGGCCGTTTAAGTTCTTGCTATATATGGAAAAATAGTTTTGAAATAAAAAAGTTTTGATTGGATAAGAATTTAACTATTAAAAAAAATATAAAATTAATGTAGTTGATAACATTTTAGAAATATTTCTTTTTTATTTTTCCGTTTTGCTACAGTTTTAGTAGATTTGCTTTCGTAGTTTAATGAAGATAAAAGTCGTTACTTTTTGAAATGTACAATTTCTATATGAACGAATTTTTATATTTTAAAAAACTTTATTTTTTTATGTAAATTAGAGTTGAAAGCGTCTCAAGTAAAACTTGAGTTTTTTTTTTTAACTTTAATTATTGTTAGTATTTTTTTATTAGAGAAACAAAATATCCTTTGTAAGAACAAAAGGATACTAACATAATAAAGCGACTCGTACTTAGAAGCCTTTTTTTTATAACGTCTGCAGTCTTCATTTAATAATAAAAGTTGCTCTTTCGATTCCCGAATCTCCTCTTAAATTAGAAAGTTAACTGTATAACATTGAAAATTTTTTTATTTTTATGTAAAGTTGTTTATTCTCTTTATATATAGATTATTATATTAAAATATTTTTATATAATATAGTATTAATTTATAAATCTTGAATTTTGATCTTGTAAAATTTTTAAAAACTTTCAATAGATTTTAATAAATTAGTTAACCTTCAGGTACTATGAAAATGCTTTTTAATATATAAGAACTATACACACCGTCACTTTTATTAGGGCAAAGTAGGAAAAAGATTTAATCGAGGTACCGTTTAACGAGGAAGAAAAAACTTTTTCGGAGACAATATTTTTTCTTAAAACACACAATTCCTTTTCAAGCTCTCTAAAGGTGATTATAAATTTAAGCAAGAGTACACTTGCGATCCCCCACACGACGAGAATGATGTGGAAACAAAACTTTATTATACGAAACCCACCGGCTTATTTAAATCTTGCAATATGATAAAAAGAAAAGAAAGTCAAATTCATAATATATAAACTCTCAAATAGAAATCTTGAAGAAAAAAGTGAAAAGTAAAAAAATTAGGTGAAAATATATGTATAATTATTAAGGGCGAATAGGTTATACTGTACTTGTTATAACTTTGCTTGTTTTTTTTAAAAAAAAATATAACGAAAATAATCATGACGAACTCATTGTTGCAGAAAAATAATAAGAACAATACTGCACAGCAGAAGGAAAAATCTAATTAACTAAAAATATGTACATAATAAACATAAAAAGTAAAATTGTTGAATTGTAACTTCCCTATAGAAAACTCAAAGAGTAAAAAAAAATTATAAAGGTTTAAAAAAAAATAGTGAAGGTCTAAATTTAAAGCTGATGACAGAATGATAATCTCGTAACTAAAAAATTTCACATATTTTAACTGAATTCTAGATTTTAAAAAGGAACGTTGACGGTTAAAGTCAGCTTCTAAGTCATTAAGAGCAGAGTCTTCTAAGCTTCGCAAATCTAGATTAATATTTTTAAAAGGAAAAGGAATAAACTTATTCGCATATTCACTTTTATTACTTCGAATATAAAATATATAAACTAAAATTAACTTGAACAAAAAAAAAAGATTACTTAAAGTTTGATTACAAGTTTAACAAAAATTTAAAAGAGCTAAAAAAAAATACTAATAACATATTTAGCTCCACTAATTAATATGATGGTTTTTAATTAGTATCTTTGACTATATAAAGTTAGTTAAAATTAAACAAATAGTCGTTGAGTAAACGGTCGCAGCTTGACAACTACTATTTTTTATTTTAATTAATATAAAAATAGAAAACGCAGGCGATATACATTTATCAAAAACCTAAATTTTAAAGTTTATATATAAGATGATTTTATAAACCTAGTACTGGCCTTGTGCTTAGTGCTTGCTTGTCGCATTCGAAAGAACTTTTATTTTTATCTGCGTGGGTAACTATTCGGCAAAAATATAAATTAATATTTTACTTTACTAGTATAAGTATTGAACCCATGAACAATTCCAGGATTTAGTGAAAATACTTCAGTTACTAGTGCTTAGTATTCTAAGTTCCACTAGAGTATTAACTAAATCCCCAATACAGGGGGGCTTATTATAAATGGACTCCGTCTGCTTAATGTTTTCCTAATGTAGAAAGGGTGGAGTTACAAAGTACAAGGGTTGAATTATAATCTTAGGGTTACCACTAACAGTGGATTTTGTTCGAGACAAGAAAGCCATCTTTTTTTTTAAAAAGTTATTCCCGTCATAATGGATAGGGATTTCGTGCGACAAAGTTCGCGTAAAATTAATGATAAAGACCGGAAAATTCTATTTGTTTATCTTAACTTTTTTTCTCTTGCCGAACCCAGATATCCTTAAAAGTGACTGGTGTTACATTTTTTTTCCACCTGTTAGGTCTTCATTTCCTTTAGACTTTGCTTTACTTTGATATTTTATTTATTTTTATCTTTTTTTACGTACATCTTGTAAGCTACTGACTTAAACAGTATTTTTTGTATCCGGGGTAATAATAAACTAATAAAAATCTTTTGAGATAGGTTACGGTACCATATTCAGCCTTGTTTTACTAAGTTTTGACTTTAAAGGTACAAGGGCCTAAAAGTACTTAATTTTTATGCGCTATTCGGTAATAAGGTAACTTAAAGCAGACGGAGAAATAACTAAATTATAGAGAAGCGTTATAAAGAAATAAACACTTTTTGTATAAATTAGAAGGCATCCCCTAACTACTAAGGGTAAGCGCACGAAATATATTTTCGTTCTGAGACAATTATACTGGTTAAAAAAAACCTATTGATACGCTTGTGTGTAACTTAAAACTTTAATGTATTACTTAAAAATGGACAACAACATGGTCATACAAGGCGATATTGTCGGTCTACGGTTAGCAAGCTATATACAATGAAGGAAGAATATTCTTTGGAATTAAGCGATACTTTTAGTGCAAGAAAAGCTGCTAGTTAGTTGAGCGCTTCTTAATTTAAAAAGCTCAAAAAAATACATTAATAATATAATATGAAGATATTCCTACGTTACAAGACTAAGACAAGGTCACGTTGGTTAAGTAAGTTTTTATACACTAATAATTCTTGATTTCTTAAGTATGATAATAAAAAATTGGTGAATTAAGTAATGTTGGACTCCTGGATTTAGTTACCAAAAAAATAATTTACAAAAACTTCAAGAATGTAAAGCTCAAATACTAAGTGAGGGAAGAAAAACTTACTATTAAATACAGACGCGCTATACCTTAAAGCAATAATTGTTACTGAAAAAATTAAAGAAACCAGTAGGAAAGCTAAAGATGGATCGGTATTTCCTACGCAGTATTATCACCTCGGAGATATCAAGGTTTCTGTTTAGCTAGGATGGACGAAACTGAGTCATTTTGGTCAAGTAAATTAAATAATAAAAAATATTAAACGAAATAAACCGACTAAAAGCAACAGAACCGTTTTTTAGGGTCAATAGGCGCTAGAATTTGCTGAGAAAAACTTGAGCCTTATAACGAAAATTAAAAAAACGGTAAAATTTTCTAAAACCTACTCATTGTAATTTTTAGCTAATAAAACAAGTATAATTTTATATATAATTTATTAAAAACTAGCAGGATATATATTATTGTAATTACAACATTGAATAATAAAAAGTCTTACATCCATTCACTTTTAGTTAGAACTTACAATGAGTAATTAACAACAATTTTTTAAATTGAAAAAAAAATTTTAATTTAAAATCAAAACAGCCTCTCCCGATTTCTTTTTTAAGTCAAAAACTGTTTTAAAATTGAGTAAACAGTGTAAGATGACAACACTGTTGTTACATCTTAAAAATTTTGCTCATAAAAGCCTTATTCCCATGCAGCACAACCTTTCTAGAGTTGTATAACATTATGTAAATATTTCTCCCTTGTTTCAAAAGATCTAACGTAAACTTATGTGTTGTATTACCCTAATCGTTTTCTATCGTCTTCTGTTCAATTACAACCTTTATCCGAAGTAGCGTAACCTTTTAAGTATATTTTAGGTTACCTTGTTAAAAGTCACTTATCTTCAAAATAAGTACAATTACAAGGTTTAAAGATGAATCCAGAATAATTAATATTTTGCACTTATTTAAATTAACTTCAAGTATTTTAAATCTAATTTTTAAAGCTTGAACATCTTTCCCTATTCCTTATTGCCAATTGTTCAAGATCAATAGTAGAATAAAAGTAACAATCAGGACAGCTTTAATTAAAATCAGCTCAAAAAAAAAATAATAAAAAAATGGCTACAAATAAATTATAGCAAATAACGTCTTCACACAAAAAAAAAGTTTTAGTTGTTAAAAAAAAGGTTCAAAGCAGAAGTTTCAAGTTAAAATTTAGTTCTGTACCCTATAAAATATATAAAAACAAATAAAACAAAAGATTGTAACTATTTTAATAACTTTTTTAAAGTAAATTGTTTACCAATTTGTAAAAAGTTGTTAATATTTTTTAAAAGGTTATTAACAAACTAAAAAGTCAAGATTTTTGAAAAAAAAAAGGATATACGAAGCAATGGAGAACTGCCGGAAATATTCACGTGAAGCGTTAAAAGGCTTACTTGTTATACAAAAAAAATTGACTGAAAAAAAAAATTCTTTCATCAGGCAACTTACTATATATCATAAAATACTTTATGCTCGGTATATTTTTGTATTTCCTTTTTTTTTCCGATTTATTATTTCTATTGTCTTCTGAATTTTTATTACTGGTTATATATATTATAATTAATCTAGTATATTTTTAGATTTAAAGGAATATGCTTTGCACAGAGAAACCTGCCATGTCCACCGCCAAGACTAACTCTGTTTTTCCCATTAAGTTCTCATTATTTATAAATAATTTCCTTAGTATTGTTTTACTTTTTGTCTTTACTAACTATTTACAAGAAGGCGTGGCTTTGGGGGATCTAAAAAAAAGGTTTCTTAGTAATTCATTAATTTCGAACTACTATATTAAATGATTTGTATGTTTTTATTAGAGGAGTAAAGTTATGAAAATAGAAAATTACGAGGAAAAACCTCGTTCTTTTGGAGAGAGTATAGCTAACGTTAGATTGCCAATAAAAACAAAGAGTGGAATTTTAGTTAAAAATAAAAGAATGGAAGTTTTACAGACAAGTTGAGAATTTCATAATTAAAAAAATTAATTTTTATTTAATTCATTATAACTTAATTGATTATAGCTAGTGAAGCTTTGCGCCCCTCATCTCAAGAAGTTAAAGAAGTTGTTCCACTTGAAGAATCTCAAATTACTGGAGAAACCATTGAAGGTGATCCTTAATTTATATTGTTTTCACCTTTTTTGGATAAATTTCTAAACTTTTTATACTAATAAGAATGCCAACCAACGCTTCCTCAGTTTTTGTCAAAAATTCAGAAATCTTTTCGGAACGTTAAAGCAGAAATAGCCAAAATTTCTTTTCGAATTATAGAAGATCCCGCTAAAAATGTATTTTTAACATTTCATATATATTTTAAAATAAGCACCAGATGAATTTGTTTTCACTTATTTGGTGTGATAAAGTTTTTTTTACTACATATTAAAGATTTATTATAGATGGGACAAATAAAAGAGATTTTAAATCTCATACAAGATTTTGAGCAAGATTTAAGAATTCGGAAGTTAGCAATCGTCTCTGCTTTATCGATTTATAAAGATGTTCTTCCAACGTTAGTTATTTTTAATTTATTTATTATATTTATATAAGTTTAGAGAATAAAATAATTAGGCGAATTTTTTTGTTTACTAATTTTAAAATATTAATTTTACACACTGGTAAGATACACCATACGAAAGCTAACGAAAACCGAATCTAAAGGTAAAGTGAGCAAGGAAGTCAAAGAACTGCGCCATTTTGAAAGCACATTGCTTAGAACTTACCAAAACTTTCTGAATCTTTTAGAATTTTTTTCGAAAAGTTAATATATAATCTTGGGTAAAAAAGCTATAGTAACGGATTCCATATAACTACTTTTTTTAGAAAATTTGAAAAAAACAAATAGTAAAGAAAAGCTAATTAGTACCGATCTTGAGGAACTTTCACGAGTTTCCGTTAAGGTTGCTTTGAATTTTATTTTAGATTATTAATTTATACTTCGTATATTTCTACACTTTCTAGAGATTTATATTTAATTTGTTTTTTCAGGTTTTATGCAAGTTGCTCATAGAAAAGCCAAACTTTAACTTCCGAGGTTTTATTATTAATATTCTCGTTCCTTTTTTGAATTCCAGCACTGAAGAGGTTTTTTCCCGAAATAATTAAAATAATTGTACTTGATGACTTTTTTAAAAAGTTGAGGAATGTTTGCCTTAACTGTTTTAGTGACGTCTTTTCAGTCGATGTTTCTTTTGAAGTTTCGTTGGAAGTTGTGAAAAGTGTAGCAAAGTTTGTAAAGAAACTCAACTATAAAGTGAAGCCGGAGGTTTTATTGTTTCTCATAAGCGATAAATAATTCAAAATTAGAATTTTTTTTTTAATAAGAATTGCGTTAAATTTATTCATCGCTTTTTAATGCGAAAACTATTTTATATTCAAGTTTATAAAAGTTAAACAAACTTTTTGACTATTATTATTTTTTTTAAAAGTATATTTTTAAATTTATTAATTTTTAAAAAGTATAACTCACTGCATTTTTTTTTAATTTTTTTATAACAAAGTAATTAGTTAAATATATTTTTAATATTTTATTAACATAATATAAACCATATTATCTGAAATCCTCTACGCTGATCTTTTTAAATATAATAAAATAAACGCAGTAAATAGAATACATTTCAGGTTCTGACCATTCTACTTTCTCTTCCGCTGAGTAAAGACTTTACCTGCGAGGAGACTTCCACGGATTCAAAAAAAAGTTTCAAAAAAAAGAAGCATGAATTTCGTTCCCGTGGTAAAAAAAAGGTTTTTTATATGATTATTATTAATATTTTATTTTCCTATACGTTTTATATATAGAAAGCTCGGTATGTATATTTTTTATGCATATAGAGAAAGCTTAATGCTATACATATATATTTTCTATACATTTCTTTATATATAGAAAGATATAATGGAAAGAAAGTTAGAGAAGGAGTTGTCCGAATCGAATGCTAAAGTTCGGACGGAAGACATAAGAAGAAGAGTATTACTTTACCTTGTTTAATTATGATAAATAAATCAATTTCCATTGGTTGTAATTTTAATAATGACAAACTTTTTTAAAGAAAATGGATAGAAAGAAAGTTGTTTAGAATATTATTAGTATAGAATAATTTATTATATATCATATTATTTTGTATTTCTTTAAACCTGAAGAAATGTTATTGAGTTTATCTATTATGATAAAGCCAGTTTATATTATTTGCATTACTTTTTTTTTTTAAAAGTAAATTGTTGTCAGCTTAAGCGTTTACTATTAAATATATATAATATTTATACATAACTGTTTCTTTATTTACTCATTTTTATTGTTTTAGTTTGTATTTATTTATTCATTTTGTTAATATAAAATTTTTTTGGTAAAAATAATATTAATATATTTATATTTTTATATATAAAACAAAAAACTTATAAAAAATAAAAATATATTTTACAAAATTCCAAAAACAAGAATAAAATAGTTACAAAATTATATAGAAAAATATAAAAATGTAATTAGCTCTGAGTTTTTGTATATATAAATATATATCATATATATATATATTCCTTAAAGTTATTTTAAATTTTTATTCTTTTCACTGTTTTTCTTTACTACCAGCAAACCGAACTTTTAAAGTTGATACTTTCATTATATCTTCGCATGCTGAAGTTCACGGCGCCGTCACATTTACTTTCCTCCGTTTTGAAGGGCTTAGCGAAGTATATCTTTTTTCCCTGGAATAACATGCTTATATTACACATAATATGATGAGTTTTCTGTAAAACAAAAATAATGAATAATATTATGAAATTTATAGTACTTTTCGCAGATTCTCTATTTAGAATGTTAAGTTTGTGGTTGGTATTTTTTTTGGGACTTTTAAAATATTGTTGGGGTACACTAACATAATGCTTTTCTCACTACGCAATATATATATTATTTTTGAGGGGAAAATAATTTCTTTATTAGTATTAACGAGTTTGAAAGTTAGTGAGATTCTATTTATTTTTTTCATGGATTTTAATGATTCTCAGACTATTATAATGTAGGATTGCGCCGCTTTTAAATGTGGATTACTTTATGGCTCTTTTAAAAGTTTTGGAGCAGCTTTTAAGGCGTGAACTCAAGTTTGAGGACTCACTATATTGCTTAAAAGCTGTTTTTCACATGTACTCTACACAAGGCAATAATTTTAATGAAGTTTAACCTAAAAAATAGACTGTTAGTAAATATAAATATAAGCAGCTAATAGAAGCGAAGCTTATTTTTTATTGGTTAAGTATATTTATTTTATAGAAACTTCTCTTCTTGATTTGAGCGTTTTTAGCTCTGCACTGTACAAGCTGCTTTTGGGTTCTCTTCTATATTTTTTGTGGTAATAATTGTGCACTTAAAGTAGTGTTGAGATGTAGAACTCCCGCGTAATCTTGGAAAAGCCGAACTGTTGATTAACTGTTTGCAGACTTTTCTTATTCATAACTTTTTGGTTGTGTTTGCTGAATACTATTATTCTTTTTTTTGTGTATTTTTTTTGTTATCCAACAGTTTGGCATTAATCGATATGCTGGTTTTGTGAAACGCATGGCGGCGATGGCTCTTCGGGTCCCTCCAAATGTCGCTTTGGCGCTACTTTCTCTCATCTATAAAATTGTTCAGGCAATAATTATAATGAATAATTTTTTCAACATTCGTTCGATAGCAAGCGATAAATAAATATATCACTAAATATTGCTAAATAAGTATTGTCAAGTAATAAAAAAATATTTTTAATGTGATAAAGTACTTGATAATAATCAAGATCACTGAAATAGCGGAATTCCAAACTTCTTCGAATGTTTGATGAAGAAATTATTGGCTGCGGCGTTTACTTACCGGCGGCTAAAGATCCCGAAGTTTCCAATGCCTTGAGTTCTTCCCTTTTAGAAGAGCTCGGCGCCCTGAAGGTTTTCTTTGAAAGCACAGAATATAATGAATTTTGGTTGAAATGAGCCACTAATAACTAAGTTTATTAGAGCAATCCACATTCCCATGTGCGGGATTTTGCAAACGAACTAATCAAACGGGGGAGTGACGACTTCGGTGCTTTATACTAAATCCAATTCATATTTTTATTAAATATATTAAAGGAAGAGCTCGTCTGCTTCCACTTCATTTGAGAAAAGATCCGCTGGAGTTTCTACAGATCCAATAGAAATGCGCAATAAAGTAGTTTTTTTTTGTGATTAATAAATAAAAGTAATGCTCTGCTTTTATTTTAATGATTTTTCTATTTTTCAGTTATCAGATCCAACAAATTTTCTTCGGGTTGTTTAATGGAGGAAGGAAAGAATTTCAGAAGAGTTTCGTAGACAGTGGAACGTATTTTAATGAACTTGTTCCGCTCTGCATAATAAATATATACCTACTTATTGTTATATTTATCATTATTTCTGTTGATACCAGCATCCATGGATGTGTTAAATAAGTGAGAAGTTAAGGACCTATTAAACAATAAACATTTATTTAATAACCAATAATGTTGTGACATTTGTAAATACCGAAAGTCTTTGAGCTGTTCTTCGTCGTACTGGTCGAGCGTTTCTGCTAAGCACGCTTGCAAATATCGTAAAGCTCCAAACTTATCGTCCACGCTCATTTCCAGAAACCTATGTTGTTAGTATACACATTTTGTATTGTTCACTTGAAAGCCAAAATTTTATGTAAAAATATTTAAAGAATCAAATTTTGTACTGCTTATAAAATAATATATACACGTTTTTCATTATTATTATGTACATAAACACTTTTGCTTCCGTATGAAGTACAAGGCTTGTTTTATGACGTCTTCTTTTTGGACTTTATAGAATCGTAAACTGAACAAACCAACCAATAAGAATGCAAATAAATAAAAAGTTTGTTATATCAAGAAAAACCTCCAAAAGTCATTCAGGCGCTCTGTTCCTGCATTTCCTCCAAATAAATAGTGAATCTGCAAATATATTTATTTTCTTTATTGGTTTTTACGAGTTATCACTTTATTGGTTATTTATATAAGTCGTTTAACTCTAATGAATTTTCTTATAATATTCTGTTTCACTATTATTGTAGAAAAATAATACTTTATTTTTGGTGTCCAATACAAACTGGTGAGCAAAGCGGGGACACGGCTCATCTACTCCGGAACTTTTCCTGCTCGCCAGTTCCACCCTTAGATAGTATTATTATTATGAGCTATATACATTGAAAGAAATAAATAGTTTGTGAGTACTATTATTTATATTTATTACATTAAAGAGAAACAAAATAAATTTATAAATGGAAAAGAATATGCATTATATTATCTTCAATATTTTTATTTGCTCAAAAAATTTTGGTAATGTTTTAATTATAAGTGAATGCCTTTCTATAATAAAACATTAAAGTATTTAATATCGCATTGGCTATTATTTATGGTGGGAGCCAATAATTTTGTCAGCGCTGCTAACCATTTTTTTTTGTCAATAAAGTAAACCCAAAATGAGTTTTCAGTGGACGCTTCTCGTTTGCCTGGAATTAATTATAATGGATAATAGTCTGCGTATGCTTTTCAATAAAAATATAAAAATCATTACATAAAATTTAATGAAAAATAAAAGAAAAGTGTTAATTAATATTATGAAGTTAATATAGAAATTATTACACGTGAAATAATGAAATATGAATAAGTATTAATAAAATCATGTAGTTAATATAAATATTCCAGCATTTACGCAGAACTTGTGACCTGCCGGGTTCCTTCTTTCTTACTGGTGAGTATTAACGCCTAACTGGTTCTACCAGTAGTCGTGCGTTTTGAAGCACGCTTTTAACAACCCGTAAGCAAAGCTTTATATATATATTAACAAGCAGTTTTTTTTAAGCCAGTGAAATAAAATGCTTTCTCATTCATTATTTTTAAGGAGTTAAGTTAAACATTCAATTAATTAAACAAAGTAAATTTGTGACATAAAAATATGAAAAGTGCACCTTTTTTAGTGTGCATTCCAAAAACGAATATTTCCCGCCTGAAAGGATCAATAGTCGAGCGTTGGGTGAATGATATCTCTGGTCCGCCTTCAGAAAGATAAATTTTTTTTGGCGAGTCATGACATTCACTATTATAAAAGCAACTTAAATCGAACCTTCTACCCGTACATCCGCGATTGCCCACGTGACTTTTTTCTTTAATATGTTGTAGACAAAAAAATCACTAAAATAAGTTATTATTAAAGTTCTATATTTTTAGGTGATCGTTTATATTGGGAGAAAGTCAAAGTATGTGTGCTAGAAGTATTTAACTATTGGCCAATATAATAACATTAATAAAACGAACTATATACACACCTCATTGGTTCATTGGCATTCTGTCCGGAAAAAATATAAACGTGCTCATCACGAGGGTCTACAGAGGTACAGTGGAATCACGATTAGTGTATGACAATATTAAATAGCACTCGTACGCTTTTTCACTGGTAACAAACCTTGCTATTGGCCTTTTATAGAATGTTGTAACACTATTTTTACTGAAGACTATTGTAGTTACAGGCACATGTGATAGTAAACAAATTACGACACACCTTCAACTTTACTTTTTATTACTGCTAATACATTGTCTGGTTTGCGCTTTTAATTCACAGTAGTTACAGCTTCTATAGTCACAATTATAACAGCATTAAAGTCTTTTTTTTTGCGCATTTCAGCTTTATAGTGGTCATGAAAAGAGTGAAAAAGTAGAGCAACGGCAAGTCTTCGCAGTAATTACCAAATCCAAAGTTTTTAGTTTCATTAGTTTCTTGGCACTAAAAATAATGACAAGACTAAGGATGGAAAGGAAAGTCAGTCAAGGTTGTTAAACAATTTTTATGAGAAACGATTCAAACAAAATATAAACAAATGTTGGTTGGCCGTGCTTGTTAAACTAACATTCATTATAAATAATTCTAAGATAAGTAATAATATAAAGCACGACTTTTTCGTTACACCTTAAGCGCGTGCTATGGTAAACTGCATTTGGTTAAGCATCGGAACAAATCGTAACACAACAAAATAGTGAAAAACTGTTCATAAGTTATAATTATTCCATTATAAAAATCGCCACTTTTCCAACTACTAGGAAACCTACAACTCAGCACTTCACCGCCAAAAATTTTGCAAATCCTTATAACGTTTACCAATGGGTTTATAATAACAAAGAAAAGTTGCTTCACTATTAAAGCAGAATTTATAATTACAAATACTGTAAGGAATTACATTATTATCGCCATAGCAAAGCTAATCATGAATATCTACACATATAAATAATGTACAAAACCCAACAAAATATGCATTAGAAACAGTGAAAGTAACTACGAATTAAATTCAAACCATAAAGAAAAGAGTGGCCAACGCGAGGCATCAATTCGACATTGTGTTGCTCTACGCTATGATAATAATATTGTAACTTTAAGAATAAATAGAAAAAGAGATGTAAATATATCAAAAAGTACTGAAAGTGATGATTATAAATTTTTTTTCTATGCGCAAAAAAAAAGTGAATTATTTGCAAACAAGAAAAAGTAAACATGTAAACTCCAAAGAAAAAAGTAAAATTTTCATAAAAGTTATATACGTACGTAATGGGAACCCACTGATGGTCTTCATAATAATAGTAGTACATTCCTAAATAAAATTCAAGCATAATAGAAATGAAACATGCAATAATATATAAGCAAACCAGAATACGGAAGAGGCGACTCATTGGAGGAGATGATTTTCCCGCCAAAAACGATCAGAGCCTTTTCTTCATTGCTGATTTGCATTTGATGGTCGAATATTAAATGAGGCCCCCCTTCCTTGGCTTTGCATTTTAAGGAAAATATTTAACACATTGTAAGAAAAATAGTGAAAATGTTAAATATGCATTCATAATAATAATTGTAAAATTGGTAAAACAAGCCTGTGTCCGACGATAGTAAGGACCAATGGTCTTGAACGATATCATAAATAAAGAAGTCACAAAGAATATTTTGAGGTTTTCTCTAAATTCAGCAACAGAAAACACCAATAGAAAGTTAGTAAAATAATTTTTATGTTTAAAAAAATTTTCATTATAAAACGTGACGTTTATGGATAATAAATTAAAATAAATTATATATAATACACGTGCCACAACATCGACATAACGGCCTAAACAGTAAATCTTCTGCGCTTCTGTGTCTATGCAAATACTATGGCAGGATCGCGGACACTAAAAAGTGTGAATACAATGAGAAAAATCGACAGGAAAAATTATGATTATGATTCCAAAAAAATAGTTAAAAGGTAGAAGCCACGTGATAATTACTGGTCACGTGAAATTTTAAAAGCCTATTGGATAAAATATATAAACTAACGCTCATTGGGGAGGTTATAAGACTAGAGTCACTATGAAAAGATCAATAAACGTGGTCATAATTTTTATTGGATAAAACTTAAACCGTATCTAACAGGGGCCAAAAAAAATAATGGTTTTATCTTTTTAAGTTTTTTTTTCACTAGAATAGTTGATGCGAGAAAAAATTTTAAGTAAACTCGTCAATTCTTATGGAAATCACTGTTATTATGCGCTGCTGTTCGTTAGTTATTACTGAAATGTATTAATATAATTTATAAAAAAATTGTTACAATGAAAAAAATGAAAAACTTCATGAAAATTTATCCACAATATAAAATATATTTTAATAATTTTCTACAAACGCACCGGCCCTCCTTGAAGTTCAGTGTTGTCGCTAATTTTGTGCCAATTATTGTTGGGTATAGAATAAGACCAAAAGTCTCCTTCAATGAAATAAGTTTGAAAATTTTAAGTTTTCTCAATAAATATAATGAAGATATCATAAAGATAAAGAAACAATAATAAAAATAGAATAGAATCATAAAAAGAATTTCATTTACTTATGTGATTTATATATAGCTTGAAACTTTTTCGTTTTCAATAAAGTAATTTTCAATAAATTTAATGACTCCAAAAATTCATTAAAATTTTATTCTCTAAAAGGCTTAGCTATGTAATAAGCCATGCGGCCCAGTAATCGGCTTGCGGTTATAAACAGTATATTTAAGCTAATCGTCCTCATAAAAACTGAACCAATCATAGCGCTTATAACCCCCTGAGCCAATGACAACTTAGTCACAGACAAATATTATTGTTGTAGAGTAAAATATTGACACCATTAGTTGCGTTACTTTTCTGTAATACTATTTATATTATTGATATTCATTTTTATTTACCCAAATCCTTTTCTCCATCCCACCCGCCAAAAAGGTAAATAACGCCATTTTCGGGATCTATAATGAATATGTAAAAATAGTATAAACGCATTAATAATAATAAAAGTTTTTAAAAAATAAACAGACAAAATTAAAAGAAGCACAAAAATTTAATAATCATTAAAAAAGACGAATCAGGATTTGCGTAAAAGTGGCCAACCTATCACCATCTGATGCCCCCCGCGCAAGCATGGCACAGTTGTAGCAACTTGGCCGTCTATAATGGGATAATGCCACTCACAATGATAATCATAAATGACAATATAAATAATGAGACTTGAATCAAAAGGAAGAATTCTAGACCAACGAGGACGATAAGTTTGATTATTTATATACTCTTCGAATAAATCCTTTTTGGACGCCTCTTCAATAATTCTCTCAGATTTTTCAAAGTCGCCGTTGGTGACCTCAAAAAAAGAACTAATATTAATGAAATAAAAGGCTTTCTACAAATAATTCTAAAAACAAAAGTACATAAATTTTAATGCTATCCATTATAAATTCAACAAAACTATATACTTCTACCGAAAGCTCAGCTCATACAATATAATGATATTTTAATAACATAATATACCAGAGAGGCGTACAGTTTAGTCAACAATGGGCTCTCAAGTTGAATCTTCATTAAAATTGGTGATCTTTTAGTAAAAAAATAATGAAATGGATAACTGACGCCACAAAAACCTTCGAAACTGCTCGCAAAGCTTCAAAAGGTTCTAAATAATTCTTCTGGCGAAAATATTTAAGACACAAACGAATCACCTCTCTTTCTCGGAGCTGTAAATTTATATACATTCAACAAAAGCGCACTATTTTTACTGATCATAAATTTATTTTAATATTCAACCAACAAAAAACGATTTGCTTACTTCATCATATTCTTTCAGTCGGCGAGAAACTGTAAAGGGATTGCAAATACCGTCCAGCCGAACATACCTTTGATAATTATTGGCAGAAAATAAAGTCCAAAAAAATTTTTAGTCCACTAATTTTTAACTACGCTTCACTAAAAAAACTTCAAAAAACACACATCAGTACAATACCAAATGCTGAAGTTGAAGTTCGAGCCCCACGCAAGTATAGGAACTTCATAATTGCAATAATGATGATGAAAATAACAATATAAATACAGTAGTGTGAACCTATCTTAATGAATTTGCAGGGAACTTCCAGTTCTTTATATTTACAAGTTATTGAAAAATGCTCTTTTTTTTCATCATTATTAAGGCCTCCATGGAAAAGCTCCATCTTTATAAGTTCAGTTCATAAGAAATAATGAATGTTATTGTGGAGTTTAAAAAATAATAGTTAAATGTTAAAGATGTTATAAATAGAAAGTGGAGAGCGACTTCGTTATATAAATTCTGTATTATAATATAAAAATAATGAAAATAATAAATAAAAGTATACCCCAAAAAAATTAAAATAATAAGTCTATAAATATTATCAGCAAAATTTTTGAAACAAAAATTTGTTGTATTATGGTTTTTATGCAAACGGTGAATGCAACATAACACAAATGTCAGCAACTACAGAAATTTTAGCGAACTCCCTCTTGCACATGTAGCCTTAAATAACCTGGCGTGCACGTGATTTTTTAGAACCAATTATCATCGCTTCAGAGTGCCGAGCGCAATGAAATAACTGGCCCGCCAAGAGTGTTGAAGAGTAGCTTGAAAAACTTTTTCTTATACAAACTACTAGACGCGCTAAATTTTAATTTGTTCAAAATTTATTTTTAGTAAATTTACTTTTTATTATTTTCATATTTGAAGTTTAAAGAAATAATAAATAAACTTTTACTCAATATTTTTACTGGTTTACCTACGAGCGCATTGAAACTGTCTATGATCGCTTCAACAAAAATAGTGGTTTCCATAAAGTTAAATGTTTAAAAATAATATAATTACAAAGGTAATTAGGAAAAGTTTCAAGTCCTTTATTAATAGTGGAAATGAAGAGAACAAAAACAGGGTGAACGAAACAGAATTGATATAAACCCACTATAAAGCGTGACATAAAGACTAAATATCAAGAAAAATAATAGTTACGAAAAAAAAACAAACATCTTTGATAACTTATAACTTGTTTATTTTTTAAAAAAAGTGAATTCAATAATTCTATGAAATTAGGAAATTTTTTAATATAAATTAAATTATTATGTGCTTTTGCAATTTTTATTTAAATAAATTTTTTTTTAAATTTTAATTAATAAAAAACTAGAAGTTTTCTTTATATACCAATATGGAATGTTATTAAGAAAAAACGTAAACTAAATTTAGTATAAAAGCTGCTATAATAAATTTATAAGACTAACTAATTTATGACGTTACCATGTGTTCAATAGCCAGCCCACCGTATATTTTAAATTCTTTCAGATTGCATATGTGTGCTGCAAAGTTAAAATATATAACTGAATAATTTCAAAGCGCTACAAAATACAAACAAGATGTAAAGAAAATACATTACTTGCTAAGAAAATAAATTAAAAACTAAAAATTCTAAGTAAAAAGTGATAAAATATAAGTAACAAAAGTTATTAAAGCAAAATAATAAACATAAAAGTTTTATAACCTTTAAAGTATTTTCCAAAAGTAATGCGACCTAATAAAGAAAGTAAAAATTTAGCCTTAAATATAACAAAATTCAGTAATTTTAAAATATAAAAATAATTTAACTAAAAATTCTATTTATTTACGGATCAAAGAAACTTGCTCAAGTCGTAGCAGTATAAATTGCAAGAGATTATTTTCTTCACTAGACCACCGAGACGACTGTTCGCTTGGATTGTCAATCTAAGCGAGGTAATAATTATAATTAATATAATTATAGTAATTTAAAAAAAGGATTTTTCCATGGAGTAACCAACTAATTAACAATTCTTGTCTTACCAATATATTTTTAGGATGATAGTCGGCAGAATATGACGACCAGGAATGAATGGAATACGGTAACTCAACTTCAGTAAACTTCAAGTTATAACAATAATTATTGATAGATATAATGGAAGAATCTTAAATTTTTAATGGGATCTACCTTAAAAAAAAAAAGAATTCAATCTCAACAAATAAAGTTTTACCTCCTGTTTCGAAGGTGGCATTTTTTATAATAGCTCAAATGATTAAGAAGAGATAGTTCTGGGAATGACTAAAGTGTGTAGACAAATAGTAAAATAGTTATACTAAAAATAAATTAGTAATAAGAAGAAAAAAATAACAGACAGAGAAACAACTTTTATGGAAAGTATATATATTATAGTGATCAGAAAAAAAAAATTAATAATTTTTGTAAAAGTAAAAAAAATATATATGTAAGAAAGCGTGAAAAAGGGAGAGAGGGAGGTATAAATACCAGTTATTATTATTATTTGTAAAAAAAATTGTTATAGCGTAATACTATACATAACTAATAGTATTGTATTCAAGGCAACTGCTCTGCTAAGTTGAGGTCCTTAAAAATTTCAAAAGGATCAAATTAGGCAATGGACGGTAGTAACTTTACGGCACTCTATAGGTTAATGATGTCAAATATTTTTTACTAATGATCTGTTATACATTGGATCGACGCATTTTTATTAAAATTAGACTCGTATTATTGTGCATAGTTACTGCGACGAAAGCCTATGTTTAATGCCAACTTCTAAATATAAAAGTCGGTGACTTTTGGAGATAAAAGTATTTGATACTCACTTAATTTTTTATAAAAAAGTGGGTTATGTTTATGTAGTAAACACCGTTAAAGGAAAACTCTCTTAGGCAAGTGGCCAAATGCAAGAATGGGCTATAGTAAATAAAAATATTCTACGACGATTGCTATAAAAATCGTTAATGGGGTTGCGCAATTTTAATGCCCAGTTTTGAAATACTTGCTGAATTAAAATTCTTTGCATGCATAAACGCTTAAGAATTTTATCACCTCCACTGTTGTTCTTAACACCCCCCCGTTTTAGTTCAACTCACGCAAATTCGCATATCACTAAATTTTTTTTATTTAACCTTTGTAAAGAAATAACATAATATAGTTTTGATAATTATATAGGTAAATGAAGGAATTCGGTGATACGAAAAAATTTTAAAATAGCACACAAAAGCCTTATAAATAATAGCAAAGGCTCAGACAGAGAACTAGGGCATAGCTTTTTATATGGCCCACCTTATATACCCGTATACCTGAAGAAGGCTCTCTTTTAGTCACCGCACAAGAAATCTAACTCAGGAAACGAATATTTTGAACGGAATGATATGAGTTTCGGACCGTGAACTTCGATCAACCATATAAAAAACGACTTAATAGACTTAATTTCGCAAGCTCTTAGAGGTATGGCATTTTATTATAAGCGTGCTTCTATGGAGTGTAATAGAAGTAAAAAATAATCGGTGAGCAGCGCGTATATATACATAGTACTAGTACTATAGTCTAACTATAGTACTAGTAACAGACACTAGTCTGTACAATGCAGCTAAGCCAGTGACGAAATGAGCAGTAACGAGCCGCGACACAGCCCAAGCATAGTCTGTTACTAGTATTATAGTACAAGCTCGATCCTCCAACGAGGAAGGATCAAGCCTGCATCCTTTGAACTCAGGAAGAGTCTATAGTATCATTACTCATTATGTAACTCTTGCTATAGCGGCTTTCATCTTTGGTACTCACCGTCAACCAGAGTAGAGTGCTACAAAACTTAGCAGCTTTCGTCAACAATTTAATAGTGAATCGATTGACTACGGCTGCTCTTCCATTGATTTTCACTAAAGGAGCGTCTCCGGAAGGCAATGCTAGTACTCAAAGCGAAGTATTCACAACAAGTAAACAGTAGCTATCCGTTTGTATGTCATTGCTATGTTTCTACTCTAAAGTCATTAAATTTGCGAGCAAATTCTCGTATCCTTTCAGCTAGCTAAACTGAGCATAAGTCTAATAGAGGTAAGATAGAGCCTGCCTCAAGACTTTATCTAATCTTCAGTTTTTGTCAGTTTTAAAAGAAGTCGTTCCCAACCGTGTGTCTCTAACTCGTCAAAAGTAGGTTAGCTATGGCAACCTGCGCCTTTCCTAAGTAGCATAAAACTCACAACTAAGAACCCCAGTCAGGAAGGTACCATAATCACGATCCTAGGTTGGTTGATTAATCCGTTAGCGACTCCAAGCTTAAAATAGTAAGCTAGCCATGTTGGCCTTAGGTTAATGTGCATTATCCGCCTAAGCAGCTATTAGTCGCCATCGGATAGTGGAGGGTGACATGACCCGACCGAAGATTAATTTACATTTAAATGCTGGTTCATCTTAGGATGACAACCTCTTGAGCGCCCTAGATCGAAACCATCGGGGACCCGCAAGGACTAACATGAAAATTAGACGCTAATTTGAATATATAGGTCCTTTTGGGCCACTTTTACTAACAGGCGCCTGGGAACAGAAGTCGCCGGCAAGTCCTTACTAGCCTGCAGTCGTACAATCTAGCACGAAAGCACCAAGATATTGCTAACAGTCAAAGTCTACCCGCTAAGTAGCCGACCTGCACAGTCGCCAAAGTTAACAACTATATAAACTAAGGACTTACTTTCTGTGGTCACAGTACTAGACCGACTGCGTCACAAGCTCGTGCACCGATGAACTAAATAAGCGCAGCGAGAGCAAGTTAAATGGCTTAATAATTAAACTTGCACTGTGGAGAGAAAAAGTACCTCTAATAGATTCTCATAGTTAAAGTTTTTAAATAACAACCTGAAACATAAAAATTTAAGTGAATACAAAAAAAAACTAACTAAAACACAAAAAATACATTTAAAAAATGGATTAATATAGGATGGTATCAGAAAGTTAGATTATAAATTGAAAAAATATTAATTTTTGGGAAGCCTGGAACTACAGGGGGATGAGGGTTAAGGGTTAGGTTAAGTATATAAAGTCGCAAAGAAGACACTTTTTTTTTCTCTTTTCTCTCTCTTGTCAGTTTGAATTGGGCCCATCCTCTTTATAGTAATGTATGACATAGTTTATTAAGCAATTTATATACAATTTCTTAGTTTAAAGTAATATTTATTATATATATGCCGCTTTTTACACAGTGTTATCACTAAGAAAAGAACTAACAAACTCAAGAATTTTTAAAATAATTACAAATACAAAGAGGCTCATTGGCTGATATCTCGAAGTTCATTGGTCGGCAGTATCTGAAAATTTAGTATATATAGAGGGGAGTAATTAACTTACCCTTTTAATAGTTTGTTAAAATATTGTTTTAATGGTCTTATCCTAATAGATAAAAACTTTGTAATGCATCTTTTACTTAATTTATAAAGGATTAGTATCAATGTTTTTACATTTTCGTTATATTTAAATATGTTTCATATTCTTATATTTATCCAATTAATTTTTTACTTTCAGATTACGTTATCAGCACCAAACTATCCTTTAATTTTAAAAGAATGACCACACTTCATATCTTATATCTGTCAAACGCACTTCAGTAACATAAAAAAATTCTTTCAACCCACTAAAACGTGTCAGTAATTACCTCTGAACTTAAGGTGTACTAAGTAGAATGAGTTTGCAAAGAAAAGCTTTTTTTTCAGCAACAAGGATCTGAAGCTATTTACTCAAAGTACTAAGTTGGCACTCTATATATTATAACTAAGTATAGAAGAAATGTTTCAGTATTACCTATTCGATTAGGGTTTAGCACTTGATTTTTAATTAGTCTCATATCGATTTATTGATTACAAATAGTCCACTTAGGATTGCAGGTATTAGCACGTGTGGCAGTGACATAGAGGGGATGACTTGAATATAGTTGCTGATGTACTCTTAAGACTAGTCAAGAAAAAAAATTCTATAATTTTAATGCTAGTTAATATAGCGCTGAGTGGAGAGGAAAAACTAACACGACTTACTAGGGCAAGGTACTAAACTCATAGAAACATAATCTCGTGGGATCTACAATCAGCACTGAACTTTATGAAATTGCCAAAAAAAGGGCGGATCAAAAAGTGTGCTGGTAATTGTAGACCGGTGTATAAGATACATGTGAGCCAAAGGCTTTAATGAGGTTGAACACCGAGATGGTGAAAACAGAGTTAAATGAAGCTTTTAGTTGCACTACTATGGATTAAAAGGTAATATTTACGAGTAAAGAATTAATTTTTTCACCCAGACGATAGAACACTATAGTAGAGTTTGTAACAACAAGCCAGCATCAGGACAACATGACTGTCGAGAGAGTAGTTCAGACAATTATAATGCGTCACACAAAACACTCTTTTAGTGGAACGAGGAATGGAAGGAATTATTAAAAAGAATACGTTTACTACTATGATAAACTTTCAAATGTTTGGGCGTTAGTTCCTCCTACATGTTCAAAGTTGATGAATAATAAGAAAATTTTTTAGAAAGAGGTTGGGCCGCAGTGCAAATTAGATGGGGAAAAGGCATGGAGACCAGACTAAGTATTGGAATAGACGTTAAATACCGCTTGTACAAAGTATTAAAAGACTAAAAACAACAACTAAAAAGTAAAACGAAAGCATTAACGACTATCGGGTAAGGGCCGAGGGAGGGTCAAAAACAGGCTGCTTAGCTTGTCGTAACCAAAAATTAACGAAGTCAAACAATAAAGATTGGAACGTATCATGCATTATAGTAGAAAATACAGAATAAAGGTTATATAGTTAGGATAGACGGCAAAGGAAAAGAAATTCTTGGAACCAACCCAATCAGGTATGGTTGTCAGGTTTTAGGCAATTTAGGAAACAACATGTACGTTTTTCATTTTTTAATTCTGAACAACTAACTTCATAGAAATCCAGGAACTGTTTAAACCTATTTAGGAAAAGAAAAAGAATTCGACTTACTGGTAAGGGTAGCTGCGGCAATGGAAAGTTGGACAGTTGAGTCATTCTTTATAACGTCGTTGCATTTGGTTACTATTTTACTTTAGTTGGTGATAAATGATGTGGCAAGTTGACCAATAGAGTACTCTTTAATATTTGACATTATAAAAGGAAATGGCATGTGCTCGCATTCCCTCCCTTCGCTTACTTTGGTGTACACATCGTACTTCGCAGGCGACTCGGAGTTATAGTATTACAATACTTAGAAGTATATTTGATAAATATATATTATACAACTTTATTTGTCAATAGTCTATTGTTTATGAAACTTCAAACCTTGAAATTAACCAAAAAAATTATTTTAATTAGAAACTTGCCTTTTTTCTATAGTTAAATAATTTTCATAAATATACCTTTTATTTCTAAAAATAACTGGTATATACCTTTTTAAAGTCTTAATCCTTGACTGTTGTCGTTATAAAGAATGCTCTAAAGTAGTTATGATAATTTTAACGTATTCCATTTATCTGTTCTGTATGTTGCTTTTTTAAAAAAGATACCAACTAACATTTCATAGTTATCATGGCCTACAATAGCAATATTGCTTGGCTTTTATACATGTACGGTATTAACTTCTCGTAAACCACTTTGACTAATTGGACATAAAAAAAACTTTTCTTTTAGTATTTGTACACTGTAAATCTAGCTGCACTGTAAACGACTGCACGGACTTCATATTATATGCCGGAAGATATAGTCTTTTTTATTAACTTGGTTAGTTATTATGAATATGTATTTGATTCTTTGAAAGCTATACATAAAAAAAGTTTAACGAAGCGAAAAAGGGAAGACCATCGCCTCTGAAACGTTATTTTTACTTAATAAGAATGGAAGAGTAGCTTTTTTAACCTTAGAAGACTTCGCCCATAAACTTTACTGAGACGGAAGACTGTTATACTTATATGTAGATAACGCTTAGTGTAGCGTACTAATTATTTTTTTACTAACACTAGCTACTATAGTGACTATCACTGGTATTATAACATTACTTAAAAGGTTTCCTACATAACAAATTATACGAGTACCCTGAGCCACTAATCTCCTAATTTTCAAGCTTGCCAAAGAGAAACAGGCAGAAAGGTTGTTTCATCCCTTTCTTCTACGCTATGCAAGGAAGCTAAACTTTATGCTTACTGATAGCTATAGAAGCCTAGATATAGACACTATTAAAATAGCACTAGAACTAAAGTGTGGATGGTTGTTAAAACTTAAGCCAAGAGGTTACACAAACAGGCACTACTAACGCTATAGCTTTACACTACGCAGTTGACGCAGCGGGGAAACCGCTTATGCAATAATACTCGTTTAACTTTTGCTTATTTGGACGTATATATATATCAATATCGTTAACTCCAGACTACGGAGCTGTAAGAAGAGACGTCTGGTTTTCGATATATATAAAAGTAGCACAAAGTAATAAGACCTCAGCAACAGTTAATGTAATAGTTAATTTAAAAGAGCTTAGAGGTTGCGTTATGGGCCTGAATAATAATATGATAAATTAGTTTATCATTTCAGTTTTTAATAAACTACTAAGTACAAAATTAAACCACTGACATATTAGTTCATCACACAGCCTTCCATTTATTATCTTTATCTTAATCTTTTCAGATCCATAACGTCTTTATTTTAACTGGTAGTTTTATTACTTCATTAACAGAAAATTAGATCCTTATTCTGCGCTTAAAACTTCCGCTTACTAGACTTGTACCCTTAACGGAACCACTTGTCGTCGTAATTTGGTAGTTATTTATAACAAAGGTTAAAATAATGTTCAGAACTTCCTATTACATTGTAACATAGCTTATAATGAAGCGCAGGCACCCGGTAGTAGTAAGAAATTAAGTTAGTAAAATTATTTCATGATAAATTTTAAAACTAATGCGTGAGTTTACGTGTGGCAAAACTAAGCAAAGACCCATAACAACATCCTTATGAATTTTTATTATAATAATAATAAATTTTATAATTGGAGTAAATTATTGTATAGAAGTACCTCTTATTTTTCTAAATAATAAAAAATTTGTACATTAAACTGAAGAGACTTGCGCAAAACTTGCAACAATAAAAAATATAAAAAACTAATATTTAAATTTAATGAGGATTTAAATAAAATACTTTTACACAATTTTTAACATTTTTCAACTTTTCCCAGCGGCCGAGGCGATGTTCCTGCGCTACGGAAGCTACAAGTATCGTTCCTGACGCTGAAAACTGTAACGAATTAACATAACCAACACAAGGAAGGTCAGAAATGGAGGAGAGCGTCTTGTTAGGCTCAAGCCTCCAAAGTTTGATAAATCCCGTGTTGGAGCCTAAATTTTATTCGTACTCAGTATACTTAATGGTTGCCGATATAAATTATAATGCAACTTGTAAACTACTATAAAAAATAATAACTTTAATGCATTCTTTATAGCAAATGCTTTCAAAGTTTAAAAAAAACAACAAGCAAAGTACCAGAAGCCAATAAATCGGAGTAGCGGTAAGAAGCGACAGAAGTCACCCACGGCGCGTTGGCTTTATTGTTATGATTATGAGTATTTTCCGATTTAGAGTGCCGCATGCCATGCGCCGAAGTTTGAGTAAAAAAAGGACGTCGCCTTGAAGTTGTCCATAAAAGAATTTTTCTTTATTAAAATAATAAAAATTACAAATAAATTTTCTTTTGATTTGTATAATAAAAATTAAAAAGTCAATTAAAGTTTTATAAAAAATACTTCTCAAAAAAAAGTTTCTTGTAAAATAGTAATAATAATATTCATAAGAAACCCATCTTCTCCGCAGGTGACAAAAGTATTCTCGTTAATCATACAACAGCACTCAATGTTGCCCACGTGGCCTTTGGAGTCAAAAACGAGTTGACTTTCCTGCTTGAACGCAATAAAGAAATTACATAAAATCAGAAAAGCTTTACTTGAAGCGCTCCCATAATAATAATATATAGTAATGATAATAGTACTAATACTAATACTAATACTAATACTAATAATAATCATAATAAAATAACGGCTCCTAGAGGACCTCCGAAATCTTCCACAAGCGCAACGAACGGTCCCGGCCGCCTACGGAAATGGCCCTGTCTCTCGATAGCGTGTCAACGCACATAACAGAATCCTGATGGCCAAAACTAAAAAATATTTATAGAAATGGAAATTGAAATGGTGCAAAATTGATATAAACTGCAGAGAAAAAGTTAATAAAATTAAATTAAACAAATTTAATTAAAAAGATTAAACTCCCTAAGTCAGAGAAAGTTCACTTTTACATAACTACTATGCATATAAAGAATGAAATTTAAATTTAAATGATTAACATCTTAAAATCTTTGAATTTCCATAACTATTTAAAAATTAAAAACTTTCAATGACTACAAAGTTATAAAAGACGAATATTTTTCTTCAACAGCTAATAAAGAAAAATACTTTCAAGGGTAACCAATCGGAAAAAAATGGAGAAATTTTCAACGAAGTGTAAATTTTTAAATTGTTTAAAAAACTAATAAAAGATTTAATTGCCTTCATTTATACAAAGTATAATATATATAAAGTAATAATAATATGTGAGTGTAGTACAGCTGCTCAATAAATAAAAAAGAATCCACATCCCAAATCTTGATAGTCCGATCAAACGAAGCGCTGTACAAGGTGTTGCTCCCTGAACGAAATGCTAAACTCTAAAAAAAATCATTATAAAAACCTTTTAAAAACTTTTTTTTACTATTCAATAATTTAATCAATTTTTTTAATCAAAGTTTTAATAGTTTTCCTAAAATAAATCAATATGTATAGAATAAAAAAATATTTTTAAAACTATTATAAATACGCAAACGGAGCTTCAACTTTTCTACTAAAAAACGTTTCAGCAATATTAATTAAAGTCGAAATTATATGAAATTTTCAAATATTTGTAAAATTATTATAGAAACACTATCGAGCAACAATTTCTATGTAAAATTTATACATCAGTTATAAATATTTTAAATCATAGATTGATGGTTTCAAAGTTAATTCAAATTAGATATAAATATAAAATATTTTAAAAAATATTATAAATAACAATCAATCCCAATTTTCTACTTAAAAGTCGAAACAAGAATTTAATTATTTAGAATTAAAATCAAAGTTTTTAATTGAATCCAAATTATATAAATAAATATTTTAAAAAAACTAATATACATACACTATAGAAGCTTGCAAATGTCTAAAAATCGAAAAATCAAATATAATTATTTTTAATCAATATTAAATGATTTTTAAATTATTCCAAAATGTAAACCCAATTAAAGTATCAAAACTTTTTTTCTATATTCCATTCAAAATTTAAACATCAATTATATTCAATTTTTAACAAAAATTCCGTAGAATTTAATTTATTTCTAAAATAAACATTTTATTTATAAAAGTCACGATCCATGAATTTTAAAGATAAAAACAAAGCCGTTATAGAAAAGGAAGTCGTAAAAAAAAAGAGCATTAAAAAAATAAAAAGTAAAAAAATAGTTAATTTCTTAATAAGTTTGTAGTAAGTTAAGCAAAAAAATTAAGTACGGTTCAAAAGAAAATCTATATTATATAAAATTTAAACAAAAATTGATTATAATTTTTAAAATTATATATATAAATTTAAAATTCGCCAGTACCAACTTATTGAAAACTGATTTCCATAATAACTTACCTCCCAATTTTTTTTATAATTATTAAAAAATAATTTTTAAGTTAACTCTTGTATATAAGCAAAAAAAATGGTTAAAGTTGTGGTAATAAAAGTTGTTATATTAGAAATAAAAAAATATGTAATAAAAATATTGAAAAAAAAAGTAATAAATAATACAATATTATTATTAAAAAAAAATTAACGAAGAAATCTAAATAAATTAAAAGCAAAAGCTACACAAATTAATTGCACGTGCTCACTAAGCAGAGTTCAATTATTGTATTGATCTAAAAAATGTATAAGTCTTACTGAAATTGGGCCTCTGTGTCCTTTAAAAACGTGTAAAAGTTCACAATTGTTAACGGCATTCCATATAAATATTACATCTTCTTTACCTCCAGACGCCTAGAAAAATTGAAAAAATAGTAAAAACAAGCAAAATTATTATAAAACAAAAATTTATAATCAAAAAAAAATGCTAAGTAAAAGGAATCTATTCCATAAAATTAATCAATATATAAATTAGTACTTAAAATAACAAATAGCTATTTGAACAAAATTCAATTTAAAAATAATTAATAAATAAAAAAACTCCCTTAAGACTCGTATACGGCACTTTTAAACGGTTTTAATAAAGCTAAAATAAAGTAAGTTTTACCAAATACTTCCCATCCGTAGACAAAGCTAAAGCCAAAATTTCTTTAGTATGCCCCCCAAAAGCCTTCCCTTTTTTCCCACCAATTATTCTACAAATTTTGCGTCCACTCTTGGCAGACCCTAATAATAAAAAAAAGTAAATCTTACATATTCACTTTCTTTTACAAATAAAAAAAACCTTATTACATTTAATTATTGTAGAATCTTTTGATCCAGAATAAATGTATTTCTCATCAGAAGAAATAATAGCGCAAGTCACCGGAAGCCGGTGGCCTTTTAAAGTTAATACTTTGCTCTCCTCAAAGGCGTTCGTGTACAAATGAGCCAAAGTTTTAGTTACTTTCCTGTCTTTTTCTTCCTAAAAAAGTATTAAATTACTATAAGATTCCCTATATAAATTATAATATTTTTTAATAAAGATAACTTGTTCCCGCTTTAAACGGTGAGATATTCTTTCGTGTACAGTTAATCTACTATTTTCTAAATCTCCAGCTGCTTCCTCTTTAGAAATTGTTGATAAGTACTCTTTTGCAAGATGGATACGTTTTTCAGAAGGAGTTTCGAAATCTTCTTTTTCTAATATATCATCATCAGCTCTGTCTTTTTCCGTTTCACTTTCCAAAGCATCAGAATCCTCCTCCGAAGCATCTGACTTAAATATATAACACAAGTATGAGAAAGAATTTTACGGTTATTTACAATTATATACTTTTAATCAAAGGATAAAAACCTTTTTATAATTTTTTTTTTTATTATTAGACAAAAAAAAGGGATCTTTCATGTTATAATAGAAGCCCCGCCAAAGTTTGAAAACGTTAAAGACTTAGTCGCCCCGTTTTGCTCACTTGGAATTCAAGTGTGACCACGTGATAGGGGCCCTCCATGTCAGGCATAAAGTTTATCGTATTTTGCGTTTCCTCCTCTTTGCTTAAAAACTAAAGGCAAAATACTTTTTTTAGCTGAAAGGTTGAAAAAAAAAAAGTTCTAACGCTTATATAACATGAGTACATTGGAGTATATAAACTGATTTAAATGCTCAATATTTATCACAAAATCTCAATTTACACGATTTTTATCCCATGGCAAAAAAGAAAGTGGTAAATAAGTTAAGTTTTGAAGTAGAGACAGTAGGACACAGCCACTGTAATAAATTTTTACATAATGCGTAGAAACCTCATTAACGAGGCTACACCCGGCGTGTAGCGGAATATTTAATAATAAACTTTAACGGCGGTATGATTTTGAGGTTTAATATATGGTTTTGCTTTTAGCTTTTATTACTGTATACCACCAACAAGGTTTGTTTAATTATCCTTCATGTCCCAAACTTTAATAGAAACAAATCTTCGTCGTAGAGGTGATGCTAATAGTTTTTTGGGACTAAGCTGTGCCTAACAAAAAGGTTATTGGAAAAGGGGAGAACAATCAACAGTATCACAAGCTGAAGAGAACACTATTGTACTAAACGCTTAGTGTTGAGGTTGCAAGATACACACACGGTAGGCGAGACCGTTATAATTACTATTTATTAAGTTTCGAGAGCAGAGGTATCTCTTTGAACCGCTCTACTATGTTTTACGAAGTCATCACATTTTACTAAGGGCCAGGAAGTGCAGGAAGCAGTGTATAAACGGTTGTATAACGTTAACTTGTGAATCAATGGACCAAGTGAGTAGAGTGAGACGTGTTTGTTCTGGGTCGTAGATATTGTTTGTTTCTGAGCTCTTTAAAAAGTGTAGCGTGTTCAAGATATAAAGGTTTACCGCTAATTATTATTGTCATATGCTCTATCGAGGGGTTTGGTTTTCGTTCTGGACGTGGGTTTAGTCTAGTGCTTTGGGTGTGCATGCAGCTTGGATACGAGTAACGTCTCCTAGTTCGAAAAAACAACAGATCATTTGTCCTCGTGCGTCTGTACTGCGGGCCCAGGGGGGACGGAGACGACCCAGCGGGAGATAAAAGAGCGTAAGGAGGGTGAAGAATGGAATTTCTAAATGTATGCTTTTCGTAATAAGGTGAAAGGTGGACAGTAGAATTCAAGGTTCATTAGGTTGTGGTATACCCGAGCACCCGCCCCGTGGTATGTATATTGCCGAGATGAGGGAAATCCGTCCTCCTCAAGAGCCTAAATTTGCAGCTCCAGGAACCATCAGAGGATGGCATCTAATATAACCAAGCCCTTCTAACATTGTAATGACGCTGTGGTTGATTATAGTGGGCATTTTATCATCTCCTACTCTAACATCGCCAGTGCTTATCCCTTTTAAAGATTGGGTTTTAACAAAGCCGACCGTCTACGTCTTATGGTAGGTGTTCGGATCGTTACGTGTGGAAGGGGAGATCAAGAGAATTAATGATGTGCTAATTCCATCCTAAATATTCACAGTTTATAAAAACAACATGCAGAGACCGCACTTTCTACTTTCACCAATAATATGTTTACATCCCACCCAACTATTTTTAATGAAACTTCCCTCCCGAAAAACCAAAAAGTAGGGTTATTTTTAATAATAAAGAAACTACACGCTACAATTTTAAATGCAGTATAACTCGTGCGCCAATGTGTTATTATTATCATAATCACTAAAAATATAACTTTAAAAAAATTTAATGGTAAAGAAACTCTCCCAATACAATTTATTTTAATGATCTAATAGTTTTAATAATAACAAACCCCGTCACTGCCACCACCGCAACCACAGCAGTTAATTTTAATAACAATGCCAACTTTTTCCCCTCAACTTCTGGAAGATACACATATCTAGTGCATTGTAATAATAGTAATAATAATAATAATAAATAATAATAAAAGTAATAGTAACGGGTTCATAGCTATTTTCACGATATCAGTAAAGAGGTCTATATTTTCAGCGTGCACAGAAAAAAAGCGAGGTGAAGGAAGACGCAGCAATTTGCAATATTCGAGTGGTTGTAAATTACAGAACTAAAACATAAATGAATCCTTTGATTGGTAAAAAAAATCCAGATGGTCACATAGGTTTTAAATTTTACTTGAGGGACACGTGGCCTATCGACTTTAGTTTCAATAAAAATGCACGGAATATACGGATCTACAAGTTTTGATTGGAGCTTTGCACTGTATTCAAACGAGCCTGAATAATAATATAATAAAAATAGTAAAAATAATAATAGTAATATTAATAAACCGGGATCGGTCGAATCGTAGAGAAATGCTGCCACGTCAAACTCTTTAACATTAAACATTACAATTTTTATAATGAAAATACAAAAAACCACAATCACTTTTATTTAAAGTTGCGGATAAGGTACAATCCGAGCCAGAATGGACTTCAAACAGTACCAAATACTTTTCCACGCCCTCCACACTAAAACTGTGAATCCCCACGCTTTCATAATAATTCTTGCGATGTTCATTGGTTTCTTCTTTCATTGTTTCTTCGTCCAGTTCAACCACAGAGCGCTCGTTTCCCTCAATTTGAGGCGAAGCGAGCCTTTATAATAACTATTGGGTGCACCTTTTTTATATTACAGCCACAAGGGATGTACCTGATTGAGGGAGGAGAACCACTCAGCGCTCGAATCATCGAAGTCTATATAAAGAATAAAGAATACAAAACCTAATCACTATATATAAAGATTTTTGATCTAGTGATAATACATTCCATACAAATTTCCTATAAAGTTTATAGTTTTCTATATATTAATACTTTTCCACAACCGGGAGGACCCAACAAACCACAGCGAAACACTTTCCTTTGAGATTTTCCTGTGAAACCAGTACGTTTGTGTTCACTAATTTTTATTGCACCTAAAAATAAAGTTTTCATTAAAAAATTACACTTTAGTATATAAAGGAGTAATAAAGATGATAAAAAAAATAAAGGGTTTTAATAGGTCGCCACGTGCAAAATAAGATATAAGCAAACTAGCTGGAACGTTTGCTGTTGACAACAACCAATTAAAAACTTATAAAAAAATTAAAGCGACACCAATATTCAGGAGGGTGCAGCTATGATACTATTTTGGTAGCAAACGCACTAAAAAAAAATATTTTTTCAAAATTTTTAATGAAGAAAAAGTAACCAACATAAACATAAAAATAACATAAAAGTATAAAAACAAAAGATAATAAAGAAAGGACTTCATTATAATAAATACCCAAAATATCGGAAGGATAGCCGAGAAAAGCCAATAATACCAAAGTTTTACGTGGATATAAAAGAGTTAACAAACTGATATATATATATAAAAAGTCATTAGAATAGAAAAAATATAATGAAAATAAAAGTATTATTATTAATAATAGAAATTATAATAATAATAACAATAAATCTTCTCTATAATAAAAAAGTTATGAAAAGAAAAAAAATTACGTACACCCACTTGCACAAAAATTCTTGTAAAAAAATATTTTCATTTTCATTGGGCCCAAAGTCTTCCTTCCATATATTTTTTGGAACTATCGAAAAGCAAAGCTCCAATTCGCCTTAAAAAAAGAATAAATATAGATAGGAAATTCATTAAAATAATAACAAAATACTTTTTGAAAGTGCACCATCGTTATCGAGATCGCAGGAAAGAAACAATTCGGCTAGAAATTGGAATCCTACAATGAAAATAGTGTTAGTAAGTATTTTAATAATGATAACATTAATCAACCTGCCGAGCTCAACTCAACAATCTGATCGCTATCAACAAATAGTGGTGGATTCAGCAAATCAGCGCGAAGATCAAGCTTAAAAAATTGCGCGTTGGTATGGTCAAAACGTATAAATATTATAATATTATAAAAATAGTATTTCCTTTAATGAATTTAATAATTACCATAAAAGTTATACATAAATATTATGAATATACAAAAGTAAATAAGTTAGTGAAAATAATGAACTATTACTCTATAAAAGCACATCACTAGAAAAACTGTAAAAAATAAAGGTTCGCAACAGTCACAGAAATAGACCATTATTATTACAGTAATGGTCAAGATGCACATGGTTTCAGCCTTAATATAATTAACAAAAATGTGTAGCCAACAGAATAATTATTTATAACAATTAAATCTTTTTTACTCCGGATATCCAACGAACACCAACCATTAATTTTTTAACCAATAAAGTCTAATAGATATCGATGCCAATGCTCAGTTGTGTTAGCTTAAATTTTCTATATGATTAATATCTTCCCACTCCGGATAACCATTAAACACCAACAAAACATAATTTAGCAGCCAATAAAATTTTAAAATCTATCCAACAAGTGATTGTCATAGCCTACCGCACAACTGTGCAAGCCAACAAAAATATAATTCACAATATTCACATCCTCAAACTCCGAATACCCAATAAACATCAATATAAATTTAAACAACCAATAAAAAATAACAAAAATTCAATACATGATCATCGTAGCCAAACGCACGCAAGATTGTCCAACTGGTGGAGGCGCGCCCATTTTCAATATAAGCGACTTGCAACCCCAGAAACCTGTTCGTAGTATTATAAATATAATAAATATATCCACTAGAACATTTCACTTTCATTATTTTTTATAACTTTTCTTAAAAATATTTTTACTTATTACTATATTATTAGGGCTTTATTAGTACCCTTTCTCGTTTATGCAACCATTCGTTAGCCCATCTTCGTATTTACTTTGAAGTACCTTAAAAAAAAACATATAAACTAAAAACTTTGTGTATATAAAGGCATTATAAAAACTATACGCAAAAAATAATGAAAATCACGCATTATTTATTATAAAGTTTAAAATTTTTATGATGAATGCCTTTTTCACGCGCTCGCACTCCTGATACTGAAGCGGCTTATCGAAGCAAAAGCGCTGCATTGCTATCAATTCGTGATCGTTGAGGACGCCATCCCGATCTTTGTCTAAGAAGAAATATTATTACGAAGTAAAAAAAATAAAGTAAAAAAATATAATTGATAAAGAAAATATAAAAGAGAAATTATCAAAAACTATAAATCCAACTATAATATAATATAAAGTAAAATAATAATAAAGAAAAATATTTAGAAGAGAAATAAATGCCATAAAGCGAAATGGAATAATAATGATGAGGAAAATTATAATATAATATAATACAATAACGAGATAAACTATAAAGTAAAAACATAGATAAAAATATAGTAATGATAAGAAAAATTAAAAAAAACTATAAAAGACACTAATAATAATAATAATAAAATAAGCAGGAAACCAGCAAGTTTGAATATGCGAGAAAACGCTCCAGCGCATTTTTCTGTCAAGTTTTTCTGCGCTGCGCAGGCAAACAGAAAGAAAAATTTGTGTACCCAAAAAATTAAATCAGTAAAAATAACGAAAAATGTAAGAGACAATTTATTATAGTTATTATTATATATTTTGGAATTGTGTCCATAAATTCATTATTTATAAAAGTTATAAAATTTGATTCTCATAATTTATTATTGCAAATTATGGAATAATAACTATTGAAATACCAGAATTGTAAAGGACTGCTATTGGATGAATTATGGCTTGTTGAGTACAAGAAAAGAGCTAAATTGCAAAACAAAAGTAATCAGATTTTTATAACAAAGTATTTTTTATAAACAACTTTTATGATTATTATTATATATTTTCTTATTATTTCAAATACATCATAGTAAACATAACTTTTTTTAAATTTATAACAAGATTTTCTTATTTTTACTAAAAAAAATTAATTTACAATTTTATTTTTCTAGTGCGAATATATTTATACAATCATTTAAATTTTATAAGAAAAATTAATTTTCTTTATGATATTAAAATCACTTGTGCGCTTTATAAATTTTTTTATAGTTTAAAAATAATTTAATTTAATTTATAAAAGAGAATGCAACAAAGTCCACTGCTTTCCCACAACTATATATCAAAAAAATTCATTTTTTATCAGTTTTATAAATAAATAAATTCAAAAGTCAACTGCTATTTCTAAATTAATTTCAAAACTTGATTATAATTTAAATTATATAAATAAACGAATTTATATAATTAATCAAATTGTATATAAATGATAAATAATTATAAAAAGTTTAAACAAAGTATTTTATATCCGCTTTATTACCTTTTTTATAGCAAAAATTATTATTAAATTAATTTTTAACAACTAGTTTTTTAAAAATTTATTTTTATCATCTTTTCTAAAAATCGTTAAAAAAAGTTAGTAATGTTAGTCAAATTAAAATAAAAAAATTAAATTTCTTATAAAACTTTGAACTGCATTTACTACATTTTAAATATTTTTATCAAAAAAAAGGTTATAATTTATTAATTATAATTAATAAATTATAAAAACTTAGTAAAACTTTGGTCTTCGTATACTTAAAATTTAGTAATAATTAATTTGAGTTACTAAAATTTTTGAGTGCTTCCATTAGTTTTTCTACTTTTTTTTTAAATACTTCTTAGAAAATAAATTTATATTTAAAGAAACTAAATCACTAATTTTAACTCTAAAAAATTCTTATATATAATATAATCCTCTAAAGTTTTGTAAAATCTATTTAAAACCTCAGCGATATTATAAAAGTTTTTAGCCGAAGTTTCAAAACAGTGCTCGATTCCAGTAAATTTCTGTTTTATGAAGTAAATCTGTTCCTCAAACTAAATTGTTAAAAAAATTAATTTTACATTACTTAAAGCGTGAAATTTATAAATATTATAGAAAGTTTGAAGTTCAGAAAAAACTGTTTTTCTAAAAATGTCCCCAACTGATCAAAAGTGTACAAACAAAGCGAATTCAAAATGTTAACTACTAAAAAAGTCAAATCAATTGAACGGTAACTCTATAAAACGGCCGTACTGGTCTTTAAAATTTTAATTTTTATAAAATATTATTCAAGAATATATAAAGTAATTTATACATCGTTTGTTTTAATTCCCAAATCAAATTTATTTCCTGCAATAATAATAGGCCGCACTATATTTACTGATTTTCCGTTCTCATTTCCTTGAGCTTCCCGTATAAAACTTTTGAAAAGGTTTAATTATATAATTAAAAATTGAGTAACAGTTAAAGGATTAAAGTAAAAAATACTATTAATAAAATCTAAAATTTATAAAAATAAAATTTGAATAAAGAATATATAAACTAACGGGAGCCAAAAAGTTTCTAAACGTTCCAAAGTTTTTATATTATCGAAGGAATACACTAGAATTACGGCGTCCGCCTTTTTAAGTTCCTTATTTAAAACTTCTATTTCATTTGCTGTATAATTTAAATAAAATCAAAAAAATACTTTTGAAAAAATAACAGAAATGTACGAGAGGTATCGATAATCCTGGTAGTAACAGGCTCGCCTGTTATTTCAGGCGAAACTACAATTTCGGAGATGACGTGAGGAACTTTTTGATGAAAACCATCACTAACTAGAGACATAATTATAGAAGTTTTCCCGACTTTTCCTATCAGATTATTAAAATAAAAAAGATGAAAAGAAAGACAAAGATTATTAAATAAAAACACCTAAAATAATATTTTAAATGTTATAAAAAATAAGTTGAGAGTAAATAATAATAAAAGAACAAACCATCTCCCACAACAGTTACACGAATATCAGATTTCATCTACTTTGCGTTGTTAAACTATTTAGTTTTAGTGTATATCAAAGTTGGCTTACACTTTCCATCAACTTTGAAAAGAGCGCTTGTACGCGGAAAGCCACCACCTGGATTACCTTTTTCTCTGCTGAACGTTAGTTAGTCAGTCCTTGGTCTTAATGAAGCTTCAATGCTAGTCTGATTTATCAATGTTTTTAAGAAATATTTTATCAACTATTTTTCTTTGACGCTTCCAAATAAAATTCTTTTAGAATAACTATAATCATTGTTTTATATTCTGCAAATTTTAAGCTTAGAGTTATATTCCGTTTCCAATTTTATAAACCATCACATATTCACCAAATTTTGAAACTTTATGCTTTAAGTCATCATTTTTTAATTCAGAATAAAAACTTGCATCTAACTATATTGAGTTTACTTTATAATGTTTTCACTTTCTATCTTTTCCTAGACTATTTGCAATAGTTCCTTATATTTTAATTGCACCATTCTTGTTCATCTCTATATCAACTTTATTATTTACTTTTCTATTGAATAACTTATATATTAAAAGATTTTATATATTTACCATCCTACTGTACTAAGATTAAGTTTTAAAAATAGAGCAGGGCGGAGTTGTTAAAAATTTATAAGTCTATTCGAAGTTTTTCTTTGCTTATATTTTTTTAATTAATTTTTTATACTACTTAAAAATATAAACACTAATAGTCGAGTATGTAATGATAAATTATGACTAAAAATTTAGATGATCTTTATTTTATTTGCTCACGCCAAGGTAAATAGTACTTGTGTTCGGAAATAATTAATGTTTGTTTATAAGTAAAAAAGCTTCAGATATAAGCTTTTTAGTATTTTCAAAAAATTACAAATGAAGATCAACTTTAGCACAAGTAATTCGCTCGTTCTCCGAAGTCATTACAGTAAACGACCCTTTTAAGTGGCCTGCTAAAAACGAAGGAATCGTTGCGTTCTGCGTTGTATTAAAATATCCTCTGTTGATCGGCAATTTTAGAGAATGTATTTCAGCTAATCCAATTTTATATCGTAAAGGAATTACGCTTCCCAAGTGCATATTAACTTCTATGTAACCATCATAAATATCTTTAAGAAGTTCACCTAATAATTAATTAATTATTAACTTTATAAAATTTTCTGAATTTGGTGAAACCTTCAAGGTAAAAGCTTGCATTTTCTCCTGGAGTTAAAGTGGGAGGGAACTTATAAGTACTTACTTGAAATATGTCCCTGTCTTGATCTTGGCACGGCTGTACTTGAAGGTCCCCAGCTTTTAAAAATGAAAGTAAAAATGCATAAAGTAGGTAATTAGGTAAAAAGTTCATAAGGTTAAACTAATTTCACAAAAAAGGTGTACAGATCTAGGGTTTGATGTTATTGATGTTTTTTTCTTAGAATATTTCAAAATATAACACAAATTTAGTAGCTAAAATTTACCTTAGCTACCTTTACGAGTAGCGTTGAAACTACGATACTAATGATTGGCCGATAAAATCTTGGCATTTGATAACTTTTGTTATCATTTGTTTCCCATTTATTTACATAAAAATTAAAAATTATTACATGATACCTGCGAGTGCAGCTGACTTTATTAATAATCTATGACTACTTTAACTATTAGGAAAAAACTTGGTATATCTAAAAGAAGTGTGATTATTAATTACCTAAGAAGTTATACAAGAAGTTAAGTACAGGAAACTAGACACTTTTTGAATATAAGTGAAATTCAGAAGTTTAGCTCGTACACTAATGCCATGTTATCTAAAAACCGGTCCGCGTTGGTTTCTAAAGATTTAAACAAGTAAACTATTGTTAGTGACCTTGTTATTATTTTTTAATAACTAGGTTCACTATTTATATTTCATTTATCGTTCTTATTTTGTTAATACTTAATTTTCTCAATATTAGAATCAGTTAAACTTAGATAGTCAGCATTCTCATCAGTAATTTATCTAATTGTTGAACTCGACCTTTCCTTATGTACTTCCTTCTTTGTGAGCTAAATAAATAGCTCTCATTGTATTTAGTAGTCCGGATTCTCATGGAAGATTGTTCTAAATTATTTTAGAATAATATTTTTCAGGTCTAGGGCTATAATTTTATTGAAAATTTTAACTTTATTTTTCTTTTAAAATTTCATTAATTCAGCTTAATTGCGTAAAATAGGCTTCTATTCTTAGCATTGCCTTGGTATAGCATAAGTAATGCGATATGTTGAAAGTTCTGAGATTTGTTTTTGAACTGGACTCCATTAATTATTGACCTCTTTTTTAAGCTGAAGGTATAGAACCTGTTAGAAATGCATGCGTAAACTAAAGGTAATGTTGAACCAGTGAGAGAGGAAGGGTGGCAGGTAAGAGATGTGTTAGTCTGCGAAATCTTCTTGACAGATGTTCAAATAAAAGTATTCAAATTTATTTTTTTTTACGAGGTTTATTTTTTGACGTTGGTTTTAATAGACGTAATTATTATAGAAATTTTGGAAACGTTGAGGCATCCCAGTTTTTTCTTATTTTTTAAAGCTCTAGAGTAGTAAATAAGTATTATCATTATCTTCTCTTACAAACCAAGAATAGTGAAGTTGCCTTGTTAGAAAGGATAGTGAACAGGGTGAACTGTTTTTATAGACGAAAGTCCGCACTGTTAGAAAGAACTGCTCTTTATAATGGCAAAACAGGTAGTTGGCTATAAATCTTCATATGATAATCCCCTTGGGTTCTACAGAGTTCGGGGTAAACATGCTGGTTCAGTCCGGTTATAGTCATACATAATCCTGGTACTGCTATGCTCCCTTTCTGGTAGCTTGTCTATTAAATGGTGTTGATATACTATCTGTATTTTCCGCGCCTTGATCGGAGTGTTGTCTTATCCTCGGGTCCCGCGGAGGCCTTGGGATAGATAAGTTGGTGTTGATTTTTCTCGACTTTTAGGTCTAAGTATATATAATAATATCTGGGTCAATTATAAATAGTCGCATACGATAGCTTGCGAAGTTCTCTTAGATTCATGCGGGAGCTAACTGTGTTGCGAACATGTGTGGTACTAAATAACACTATAGACCTGGTGATTTTAGGGGTTAGCAAAGTAACTTGAAACTGGACGTGTTAGGTATCCTCTCATGGGTGCGAGCACTATCTTTTTCTCCTGTAATTGACAAAAATTCTTTTTTTTTGCTAAATTTTTGCAGAGGTTAAAGAGTTGTTTATACAAAACCGTTTTTTCGGTGTCAGCAACTCTTTTCCTGAATTATATTACACACCCCGCCTTATCACAAAATATTTCCACTCAAGAGATAACTCGAAAAGTTGAAGAGGATTAACACTTTCTCTTCAGTTAATGACGTGATCTCCCAGCTCGCTGTTAAAAATGGACGCTATCTTAGTAAGCTCGACAATGGGACTGCAATAAATTTTGGCATCGTTTGACGCATGTGGAGTAAACGACAACTTTTCTGTATTAATCTTCCTGTAAAATGAATTTAAAATAGTATATTCGAGTTTATTTTGAAAATGCAGCACTTATAAAGATATATATAGCTTTTAATAACACTAGAAATTATAATAAAAATAATACTGAAACTAGTAACAATAATAAGTAATAGTAAATGAAGGGACAACAAAGCTTACAACGTTAATAACAACAGTATCAATGACGATACAGGCACTTACAATTATAATAACAATAACAAATGCAGATTCCTTTTTATAACAATACGCAATAGAAAAATTTTGGAGGGAATCCCAGTTAATAAGAACAAATAATATTGAATTTATATTTGCTAAGAACTGGAGACATAGAAATAAGGGCCTTTGCTTCTTCCCAAAAGGACTTAAAAAATTAACCTCTCCTTTGGATTCAGAATTAGTTAAATGTTATACGTATCGGCTCTCATTTAAAAAATTGCTAATGGTAGTCTTTCGTGGTGACTTTGAGGAGATGGATGGATGTAAGCGACATTAAAGAAGAATAAAAAAATCCAGGATTTTCACCCTACTGAGGTTATAAGAATGCAAATATATGACGAGATAGCACCCCGCTAACTTTAGTTTTAGTTAAAGCACCCAAAAGTGAAAGTACTATTTCTAATGTAAATAATTTTGGATTTTTCTCCATCTCCGTTAAATCTTTAAAAAGAATGAAAGGAATGGATTAAGTTTTCGCTGCAGTAAATGGTCACACTAATAAATTATGTACTTCTCAGAACCGATGCGTAAATGCGGTGAAAATTATGACTTTTAGCGTTCCTGAAAATAAGAGAGGAGAAACCCTCATTTGCCAACTGCAAGGGTGTGAACACCTTGCAGTTTTCGTGGTCGTCCTCATACGTGCACCTTTTAAGAAAAACCTACTAAATGCCGGTCGATTACTTCAACTACAGGAACATGTAGTTACAACAAACAAAACTTACGCTCAGGTGACTCCTCAGGCACCATGCGCGACCACTCTAGCTTTGAGATTATAATAAAATAAATTGTTAACTATAGGATGGAAGCCCTCAACATCCAAACTCCATAATTGATTACCGACTTATTTTAAAAATTAATTAATTGACAATGACTGAAAAAAATAATATAAAACTTTTTAAAATACTTATCGGGAACGCTAACGGGGTCTGGGTCTAAAATTTGCACTGATACCTGAAACTCACCTGAATAGTGCTTTTACATCCCAAATTACACGACTTATCGAAAAGACCGTTGTCAGTTGGGGGAAGAGGGTTAGCCATTCTTATAGAAAAAAGACCCTTCACGTCCCTTTTTGAAATATTTTGAGCTACAGAGTATTGAAGCAACTGGTTTTCGGACTAAACTTAGGTATGCTGGTTCTGTAAACATTTTAACTACTTATAAGCCTCCAACTTAGAAACTGAAATGTAAGAGATTTGGTAAAGTTATTAGACGATGCCCATTCAGTCATTGTTTGTGAAGATTAAACTGTTAATATTCTACAGGACAGAAGAGTTGATAATTTAAAAGGTGGAATACTAAAACCGTGGGCGAAAGAAAAGGATGTGTCAGTATTAACTCCTTATAAACCTACAACTTATTAAATCAAGGCCGGGGTGGATATTAGATATAGCCCTTAAAAAAACGTACTCTAAGGATTGCCATCTGTCCATGGCTTTGTCCTGCTAAAAGTGGGTAATGATTTTTTTAGCATAACCAAGAAATTTAATAAAAATTAATTATTGGGCCCTTTTTTTTTAAATATCTGTAAGCGTCACCCTACCACCCTTTCCCTATTCATGTTATTGGGAAGTAAAGGGCTCTTCTGCCCTAAAAGTCAAATCTTTAAAGTAAGCAACTACCTATAAAAACTTTAAGCTTATTGTTCCTCTTCATATTAAAGAACTTATAGTTAAAAGAGGCGCATAAAGACACAATACATGGAAAAGCAGACCCCCAGTGGTATTTTGGCCTTTAAAAATATTAGTAACATTGTTAAACAAGAGTTGAGAGCTTTTCAAAATATAATATAAAGAACTAACTGCAATCCTTAACTTTACCGGTAACAGTGGAAAATGACCAATGGGTGCAAATTTGGAGATTAAAGGGTTGAGGTTTCTCTAATTAGAAAAGGGAAAGCTTTTCCATGCAAACTTCGAGAAAGCTAAATTCTTTAATGAAATTTAACACCAAAAGGGTACGTCACCATTATCTGCTAACAGCGAATAAGAAGCACATTTCACTTTTTTTCTTCTGTAGAGACCCATTACTCACGTTGGAAGCCCTTGTGTTCAAAGATGATATACAATCTTTCGACAAACTTAACACTAGAAAGGACGTGGGTCCTAATAAAATTACAACTGAATGCTTAAAATTCTTCCTATAACTGCAATTAATTATCTTGCAGAGCTTATTAACTTGTTTATTACCCATGGTTTTTATTTTCCTGTAAGATGGAAGCCAGCTGAAGTTTTTTATACCGAAGATATCTCGTCCAAGCAACTAAGCTAAAGTTTATGGTCTTTTTAGTCTACTTTCCCTGCCTCACAGAGATTGTGCTTCTTTTTAGGTTGTGTTATATGTAGTTGAGGGCCCAACCCTAATTAATGATTTAAGAGATGTCACGAGCGTCGTACTCTCTCTTTTTTTGTCGATGTTGTAATCAGTGAAACTATGTTGTATGCGTAATTTATCGATATAAGATGTGAGTTGTCACCGTAGCTTAATGGTCAGAGTATTATCCACGCGACCTCAAGGTTGCGCTTCGATTCCCTTCGGTGCCAACTCGCGTTTTCTGGTCTGGTAGTTACGTGTACAACTTACCTACAAACAAAAATGGTAATAAAGTATTTGTAAGGTGGTAAGCGTAATGTTGCTCGAGCGGCTCAATCAAATAAATTATACAGCACTTTTTAATTTTAACTAGCTCTATATTATTTGCTTTGTTTTATTATTATTAGTATATTACTCTCAATCTGTATATAATATATTAGTACTTAAAATTATCAAGTCTTGAAGGTTAACGTTGCAAAAATTTGTTGATGGTTAAAGCTTGTTCTCGCTAATTAGTTTGGTTTCCAAAGAAGCTACTACGACTCAACAAACCTTAACAATAGTGGAAAACACAATTAATGGCCTTAGTTACAAAACATTACTGTTATGGTTGTTTTTAGATATAGAAAGCTTTCGACGAGGTATAGCATTAAGGGTCTTAAACATGAATTGATCAAATGTGCAAGTCATTCCTCAGCAGTAGATCCTTCATGGTCCTTGTAGACAGGACTATAAGATTTCAACCTACTCAGCGCTGGGCCGCTTTTTCTTCCTTTTTGTTCTCAGTGTACACGTCTAACATAAAATTCCCTACCGCTCAAACTCTCTTGGCGTTGTATACAGCAGCTCAAAATCTCCGCCTTTTGCAAAATAAAAAAGTAATCCTGCCTTAACTTAGTTGAAGATTAATTAACAACGTGGAAAGTAACCCTAAATCCTTTAAAGTCATGTCATGCTTATCTCCAAAAAAGAAACGAATAGAGTACTGCCAAACTTATCTCTTTTTCAACTCAGCTGGAATATTAATTCAAATTTCTCGGTGTTATTTTTATAACAAACTAAATTGGGAGCCCAACAGTGGTTTAAAAAGTTCCAAATACGACACACGTTTTATAACCGCTTACGCAAAAATAATACCACAGTATTTTTTTTTTAGTACTGGCATACCACTGCCGGTCCTCTTAAGATCTTAAACCGCTTAAGTTGAATTTCCCTCGAAGTTCCCTCGAATTGCCCTCTTTTGCAGGGTTGGGACACAACCACCCTTCAGTGTACGCTCTTTATAGAGCTATCATAAGTGTCCCGAAGAACTTAAAAAGAGGGAAATAACGGGCCCGACACCCGCCTCGGCCTAGTGTGGCGGAAAACCGCCAAAAACCCTCGCCGGGGGAGAGGCAGCCTTAAGCATAAGATCCGGGGGCCTAAAGACACTAGCGGGCACCACTGCCGGGCAGGCCTCCTCTTGCCCTCAGTATCGATAACAAATTATCTATAAAGTTATATTTAGGCCTATATGAGTTTATGTAGTAGCTGGCCTGTTCCTCAACCTCCCACGTGGATAGACTGCAACTTACGCAAAACAACTTTTAAAGAATGTTCAGAGGGGCTCCTGGGTATATAAGCCTCACCTACTTGCATCGTGATTGCGAACTGGAACCATTTTTTAAGTTTACCAAGGCTTGGCTTAGGACTGCATCAAAGCATCTGAAAGTCATGGTAATAATGAAATACTATCTAATCCCCAATTGTATTCCTCCTATTTTACCAAATATAGACGACCGAACACCTTTTTACTATGTTAGATATTAACTTTAAAGCAAATTTTTTTTTTAAAAAACTAATTCTGGTAATATTAGTAAACAAATGGTAATAATATTTTTAATAAAAATAATAAGTGGTAATATCTATATTAAAAATACGGTATTAGTCAGATAATATAATATATTATAGCAACTATGATAGTAATTATGGCATATTAACATCAATTGCTATAAATAATAGTGACGTACTTTATTAAAAAAAATTTTTAATTTGTATTTATAAAGCCAGTGAAGATTTATTCATAGGCTCTAAAAATTTTTAAAAAAACACTTTTTAATGAGACATCGCCTCTAAAGGCAGCATCTTCCGGAGGTAGAGACCAAGCAGTTTAAGTAATTTTTTATAACGGCTCTAGCATGCCAGTGCAATAGATTAAATAAATATATAATAGTACATTTTAGAAAAAGATAACTTTATTTTTATTTCGCTAAGTAATTGAGAGTCTATATTGGTTTTTTTAAGTGTAGTGCAATTTATTTAAAAAATTTATATTTTTACACACCACAACTCAAAAGCTTCATTTGTTATTACTATTCATTATAAAATAAATGTTCAATTTTTATAAAGTATAAATTATGGTACTGCAACGTTTGTAGTATAAAAACAGAAAATGGCAGTAACAGTTGAGGCGTCTCCTAAGAAAAAATAATATAAGTATTTAATGCACTTGTTGAAAGTAGGGTATGCAGCCCCGCGGAATCGCGGGATCAACAAAATTTACTCGTTGTGCTAGTTTTTGTAGTTGTTTGTAACTGGCAGGAATTAAAATAAACTTCTATTTTGATAAGGTTTTCTTTGTGCTATGCGTATCTACAAGAGGAAAATTTGAAAAGAAAAATTTTAGCTGAAAAAATGCCATCCTACCTAGACGCATTCCATTCTTTGCAAGGTAGCAACAACAATACAGAAATCTTCATCAAGAGAAACTTTTAAAAATAATTTATTAAAGAGGAGAGAAAATAAAAAAAATTGAAAGATTAAGTTAATTTTTTTTCCAGTGCTTTAATGATTTCGAAATTAGGATTTCAACAAAACTAATGTCTAAGGTGTCGTCACTCATACAACAATGAATGTTTACATTTACGTAGTGTAATTTTCTTCTAAGCGTTCATTAGTCTGAAGTTAATGAAAATCTAGGATAAAAAAGATGTTATAAATACAATTTAAATAAAGAAAAGGTAAGTTACCTATGATTTTGGCGGTGCAACGCAAAAATTTCCCCAACCATTTCATTTTTACCGGAATTTCATTTTCGTTAAGATATTTCTAACAGTATGGGCTGCATCCGGTAACTCTACCCCGATTTAATGTATAACTTTCTTAAATCCGTCTTAGTAATATAAGATTTATGTGGATACCATCTATGGCAACCGTTCGCGTTATCATTGTCCCAGCGCTTTCGTTTTTATAAGATGGATAATAAGCCTCTAATTCCATTTTTTTTGGTTAAACGAATGACCATCAGAATAGCCATTCGGAGTTATTTCCGGGTTCCATCTCTTTATATTACTAGTGGACGGTGTTTTCCTTTGTAATTTTTAAATTAATCTTATAAACGGTATTCAAAGTGTATGTAATCCTTTGTAGATCTAGCACTCAATTTTATAATTTCGGAAAATTCTTTGCACTTTGCAAATTTTTTATCCATACTTTTGAAAAAAAATTTCAGGGGATCCCTGGCCGGAACCACTTGTTCAAAGTAACTACTTTCTTTTTTCACTCATCGTAATAAAAAAAAGGAAACAAAGCATCCGAATATGGGTTACAAGTTAATTTTAAGTCGAAAAATTAAGAAAAGTGAGTTTATTTAGCATAATAGGCTATTCCAAGTAACAAGTAACAGACGATACTGAACATAACACATGCCGGTGTTATGAGTCATAAGCATGCCATAAGGAAAAAAACA